CTCAGGTCCGGTTCGTCAGATCCGCTCTCAGAGACTGGGCCTCTTCCTCAATGTGAACAAGTCAACCTTGTCTCCGACCCAGAGAATAGAGTTCATCGGAGCAGTGCTGGACTCGGTGCAGGCAAGAGCGTTTTTGTCAGAGACACGATTCCAAGCCATGTCGAACATCATTCAAGGCCTCAGGCGATTCCTGACCACTACTGCAAGGGTTTACCTATATCTCCTTGGCCCCATGGCAGCCTGCACTTATGTGGTCTGTCATGCCAGGCTGAGGCTCAGACCCCTGAAGGTGTGGCTTGCGTAGGCCTATCGCCAAGGACGCGGCAACCTGCACTTAGTAGTAACGGTATCAGAGCATGTACTCGAGTTCCTCCAATGATCATTTGACCCTCAGATGGTGTGCAAGGGAGTCCCCTTCAACAGCCCCCAGCCCTCCTTGTCCCTGGTAACGGACACGTCAGCTCTGGGTTTGGGGGTGCACATTTGGGAGATCAACAAACGCAGGACTATGGTCTCGGGACGAGCTCTCCCTTCATATCAACGTCAAGATGCTCAGGGTGGTATGCCTAGCATGCCAAACTTTTTGGACCTGGTTGCAAGGCCAGTGCGTGGCAATGAGGACGAACAACACCACTGCCATGTTTTACATCAACGAGCAAGGTGGAGCCCATTCCTCCCTCTGTGTCGAGAAGCCCTCAGGTTCTGGGAGTTCTGCATAGCCCACTCCATTCACCTGGAAGCATCCTATCTCCCAGGGGCTCAGAATGACCTGGCAGACCACCTCAGCAGATTGTTCTGCAGTCATGAGTGGTCCGTCCATCCAGATGTCATACACTCCATCTTCCAAAGGTGGGGGTTTCCCCAGGTCAACCTGTTTGCCCCCCGCAGCAACAGGACATGCCCAATGTTCTGCTCCTTCCAGAATCACAGCCCAAGCTCAGTCACAGACATGTTTCTGCTACCCTGGGGAGGCTGCCTGTTGTACACCTTTCCCTCATTCCCTCTTGTACACAAGGTCTGCAGGGACAGAGCAGAGGTAATCCTGGTGGCCCCGGCGTGGCCTCGACAACACTGGTACACCACACTCCTGGAACTGTCAGTGGACACCCTGATTGCATTGCCACTCCACCCTGACCTGATCACTCAGGACCACGGTCACCTGCTCCACCCAAACCTCAAGTCCCTCCATCTCACGGCTTGGAAGCTTCATGGTTAAATCTCATGGAACTTCTGTGCTCGAAACCTGTATGGGAGGTCCTACTTGGCAGCAGGAAACCATCCACCAGGGCCACTTATCTATCTAAGTGGAAAAGGTTCATTTGCTGGTGTGCCCAGCGTCACACACCTCCACTCCAGGTGCCTATACCACTCATCCTAGAGTACCTCCTACACCTAAAACAACAAGGCCTGGCAGCGTCATCCATCAAGGTTCACCTCACTGCTATCTCGGCTTTCCACCCAGGAGTATCTGGACGCTCCGTATTTGCCAACCCCATGGTGGGACATTTTCTCAAGGGCCTGGAACGCCTCCATCCCCAGATTAGACAGCTAGTCCCTGCATGGGACCTTAACTTGGTCCTCTCCAAACTAATGGGACCCCCATTTGAACCGCTAGTGACTTGCTCCCTTCTCTATCTGTCGTACAAGGTAGCTTTTCTGGTCGCCATTACCTCAGCAAGGAGGGTGTCTGAGTTAAAGGCCCTCACCTCTGACCCACCTTACACAGTCTTCCACAAGGATAAGGTGTAACTTAGGCCTCGCTCAGCCTTTCTTCCTAAGGTTGTGTCAATTTTCATACGAGACAAGACCTATACCTGCCCATTTTCTATCCTAAGCCTCATGCCAGTAACCGCAAGCAGAGACTGCAATCTCTGGTTGTTAGGCGGGCGCTGGCCTTCTACATCGAACGCACTAAGCTGTTCAGAAAGTTGAACCAGCTATTCATAGTGGTGGCTGACCGAATGAAAGGACTCCCGGTATCCTCACAAAGAATATCTTCCTGGTTCAAGTCCTGCATCTGCACGTGCTACGAGTTGGCCAAAATCCCAGCCCTGACACTTACGGCACACTCCACAAGGGTACAGGCTTCATCGATGGCATTCCTGGCCCAGGTCCCGAGACAAGAAATCTTCAGGGCAGCGACTTTGTCCTTGGCGCATACAGGAGCGGTGTCAGGGTTTTTGCCACCCTAGGCGGCAGCGCTCCTCCTCGGAGCATTTGGCGGCGGGGGTCCTTCCGCTCCGCATCTTCGGGGTGCTTCGGTGGCGGGTCCTGGAGCGAGTGAAGGACCTGCCGCCGAAGCGCCCTGAAGACGCAGAGTGGAAGGACCCCCGCCGCCGAATTGCCACTGGGGACGGCAAAATGCCGCCCCCCAAATCCTGCCGCCCTAGGCGACCGCCTAGGGTCACCTACTGGAAGCGCCCTGGGTGCATATGTTCACCTCTCATTACCCCATCGTCCAGCATGCTAAAGATGATGCAGCTTTTGGCAGAGCAGTGCTCCAATGAGTGATTCCATAACTCCGACCCCACCACCTAGGTAAGGCTTGGGAGTCATCTAATTGGAATCGATATGAGCAGTCACTTGCAGAGAGAACGGTTATTCACCTTCTCGTAACTATTGTTCTTTGAGACCTGTTGCTCATATCCATTCCAAACCCACCCGCCTTCCCCTCTGTCGGAGTAACCGGCAAGAAGGAACTGAGGAGGTGCCGTGTCGGCAGGGTCATATATAGCGCACTATGGAGGCGCCACTCCGGGGGCACCACAGCCGACCCGACGGGTGCTGCTAGGGAAAAAACTTTCCGATGAATGTGCATGCAGCGCACAGACACCTAATTGGAATGGATATGAGCAACACATCTCGAAGAACAACTGTTACGAGAAGGTGAGTAACCATTCTTTTTGTTGGGGCCCCTAAAGTATACCTTTCATTAAAGGAATATGAATCCAATCTAACGTTTCTTAAAAAGGTAACTTTTACATACACTGAACAATGTGAATTTTAAGGTATTTGGTCACTATGAAGATTGTTACTGCCTATTATTTGATCATGACATCCCAGCTTTTGTGTGCATTAATGGAACCTTTTTGGATGACCTTTCAGGACCTTTTCTTAGATCAGTTATTTCCTGATATGTACTTGGTTCAGCATAGTTGAATCTGACTTTGATATTTAGATTGTAAGATACTTGTGGCAGCAAACAACATGTTTTCATATGTATCTGTAAACCGTCTAGCACATGTTTTGTAAATAACAAAATTCCCAGACAAAGACTTTATGAAGATAGAGTTAAGGTTAAGAAGAACAGATCAATAACTTAAAAGTTAAAATCCTTAGAAGAACATTGTAGTTGTGGGGGCTGGAAAGGGTGGGGAAAGGGAAATCTTTGAATTTCTGGTTCTAAGCTAAAGCACAGCATGGAAATTTGCAGCTACTGCTATTCCATCATATTGTTGCCTCTTTTTGACCTGAGCCATTAGTCAAGGTTTGGGGCCCTGGGATGTTTCAGCTGGAAGTAGAAATTTGTGATAGGTATTTCTTTGGTGCAGTTTTGTTTATTTACAAAGAATGTACAAAGTCCTGTCTTTCTGAATGCAGGAGGAACCAGGAACAAAAGGAACAGTTTCTTAGCTTACTGCCCTGAAGCCTCTTTATCTAATACCAGACCCAAAAGCTCTCTCTCTAGCTTTTTCCAGGGTCACACTGTGCTCACAGGCTTCTGCTTGGCTTACCTTGCCTCTTTGCTTCTCCCTCTTTCTGTGTTCTTGTCTGTGACCTCAGTATCTCTATGTTCTCTCACACTCCCACACACACCTATCCAAAGCAAAACTCAGCCCAAAAGCTCCCAGGCAGGGTCACACACACCTTTTTCTCTTAGGAAGGGCTTATGTTTAAAGTTATGTTGATTGAAGGGTGAGTTCGCACCTATCAACATCAATGGGGTTTTAACCTAACCCATAGCAAGGTTTCACCCAGCTCATAATGGTATTAATTATCATCATGACCTTAAATGTGTGAATTCTTCCTCCATAAAATCCAATTTTGGAGCGACTGCTATTCTCTCAAGACTCAGCCTGGAGTTACTATTTTTTATGGGCTATGCTGTGAGTCACTGGAAAAATAAATCAGTATTGATAGTGTAAGCACTGGGGTAGCATTAACTCATTCCAAGATTAGACTGAGTTTGTAGACTCTGTTTCCATTTACATCCTGCTCACATACCAGTTCTTCCTCCATTTTGACTTGCTGAGATAATGCTCACCAAAAACAGTCCTTGGATTCCCCACATTGGTATATTTATATCTTCTTTTGTTGGGCCCAGCATCCCTTAGAAACACTTTTTAGTAGGGCTATCCAGCCTTAGGTGCACCCTTCAGCCAGTAATTCTGTAGAATAGGCTCTCCACCGTGGTGACCCCTGCAGGACAGCTAGCAGTGGCCGAGAATGCAGACAGTTTGGGGCAATGGCAGCATGAGATCCAAGGCTTCCACTCTGAACCTTTATCAAAACGCACCACTTTCATCTTGTAAATATTTTAGTCCAGGTCTTCAGCTGATGTAAATCACAGTAGCTCCAGTGACTTTCCCCAGCAGAGGATTCAGCCTTTTATCTTTAAAACCATGTAGTAAGTTTTAGGAAAGAAAATCGTGATCTGTAGTGTTTTAATAGATCCATGGCCCACATAGTCACATTTCTTGTCTCTTACTGCGGTTGATAGCAAATGCGTCAGAGGAAAGCATAAAGGTCCCGTTTCTCTCCTCTTTCCCCCCCCCCCCCAGTGTAACTGAAGTGCCAAAAATGGTCTCTCAATTTGAATGCAATCAATTAATCTTAACATTGTGAAAACTGTATTGTGAGAAGATGTCTTGGCTACCTGGAATAGCAAAACAGTTATGTAATATTTGAGGCTACCCACATTTGAAAATGTAGCACAAGTGCAGTGTTCAGCAGAAGGGTGAGGACTGAAAATGTCATTCTGTTTTTTTTTAACCTTGTAGATCTTGAGCAACCTTGTGATGGAGGAGCTCCTGCCTAACCTTCAGACCATGCTCCTGCCTAAAATGAAAGGAAAGAGGAATGATAGGAAGAGGGTTTGGTTTGCGGTAAGTACCGTCCTTTGCACAACTCTTGTCTCGCATAGCAATTGTCCAATGCGCTAGTCCATGCATATTTCTATTTTTTTGTTTTTAGATTGTAGAAGAAACATACAATCTGGTCCAGGAGCAGGTTTCAGAAGGATTAAACACCTTGAAGGAAGAATGTAAAGATCTTACAAAGAATCTAGAAGGAACCATTCGTTCAGACATGGATCAGATTTTGAACTCAAAGAACTATTTAGCTGGAAAAATCAAAGGTTAGTGGGGATAAAAAAAAAACACCTCCTCTCCCCATGTCTCACTATTCTGGAGCTGTTCTTCAGAATTACCTATTGCCCTCAGGTGCTTGAATTATCAAGTGCCCACTGGTTTGGGTGCCCGACTTGAGACTCTGATTTACAGAAAGTGCTGAGCACCTGTAGCTTCCACAGTCTTCAGTGGGAATTGTGAATGCTTAGCCCTTCTCAATATCAGGGGTATTTCAAACTGGATTCCCGGAAGTGGAGACAACCCAAATCACCAGCCACTTTTGAAAATTTTGATTAGAATGGCTAATTCTGCTTTCAGTTTCACCTGTACAACATTATATGATGAAGATATAGGTTACACAAGCACAACCAAAAGCAGAATATGGCCTACATGCTCCACAGTGGAAGTTTTGATTAAGCGATAAATGTCTATAGTGCTGAAACATATTTAAAACAAATGGCTTATTGAATAATTTAAAACTCGTATGATGTGAGCGATTATAGTTTTGTAATGAATATGTAAATTAACATAAAAAGTAGACAAAACATTAGCTTATGCTGCTGAAGCACTCTTTCTAGAAACCATAGATGGCAAGAAATAGATGAAGATTTAGCCAATTATTTTCAAAGAACTTGGAGCATTCCTCTTTAGGGCACTCTTTTGTGCAAAGGAGTGTAGATTGTTTTCCTTGCTGTGTAAAGTTCCCTGTTTAATTAACATGTAATACAGTGTACCTTAGGTCACAATGACCATGCTATTTACAAACATCCCAGTGCTTGCCAATGCCTGCCTATATTTCTTCTTCTTCGCTCACAATACATCCAATCCACTATAATTTGGCAGGAAGGACTAGGAAAAAATATCTTTAAATTGTCATTTAAACTCCACAAACTCTTCCCTTCCTTACCCAAGTCATATTTGAGGAGGACACGTGTCATAAATGGCTCTGGGAAAAGTATTCTGATAGAACTCATTCTACAGTCTGTAGCCCTTTCGTTTAGATTCTTCAGTCTACCACCCGGTGGCCTAAAACACGTCTGTCTGATTCTTTAATACCTCAGCAACAGTTTCCGAGCCGGCTGAGAAGTGCTGCATGGAGAATATCCAGCCATTTTTGCCTTCCATATTGGAAGAGCTCATGGGCCCAGTGAGCTCTGGATTCAGTGAAGTCCGTTTGCTCTTTGAAAAAGAAGTTAATGAGATCAGCCAGGACTTCCAGAAGACAAATGATGCCACAAAGCTGAAGGAAGTAAGAAAAGAAGTCTTGGTCCTTTTTTACACTCTCACATGTTATAAAAATTCTCTATATAGATCTTAACTGACAATAGCTATATTGGCTCTGCGGAGCCAAACAGGTATAAATTCCTGTTTTTCTCAGTTAAATAGTCATCTGACTCAGACACACAGAGTGGAATAGATTGAATAATGATTTGCCATAATCAGTTGTGTAACCATCACTAAATTGCTTTATTAAGAATCCATCTCAGTTTGCTTTCTTTGTAAAATATTTTTTTCCCACTGGGATACAGAATTTGAAGCAGCTGATGAACCTGCCATTCAACTCTGTGAAAATGGAACCTTGCTATCTGAAAGTCAATCTCCTCCAGGAAGAACTCCAGGACCTCAAGAGCCGCTTCAAATTCTACCATATTGATTTTGTGGTTCAGAGGACGCAGAACTTCATGCAGGAGGTACTGTAAGATCCATTTTTCCACTTTGGAAGAACAGATTAGGTTTGCCCATCTGCTCTGCTTCAAAGTAGTCTTGATAGGGAGTTATGCACATTCACAGAATGGTGAATAGACTAGAATGAAAATAGAGATTACAAAATCCAGGAATATCACAGTTGACAGGGGCGGCATCATCTTTAAATCAGTGTTTATTCCTTTTAAAGGCACAGTAGTTAGGAGCTAAAGGTTGATCATCTCTTCATCTGACCTTTGAATTTCTGAAATCTTAGTGTCTCAGATTCTTAGGGCAAATTTCAGAGTGCCCTCAGCCTGGCCTCTAAATTTGTGCAGTAAAAATGCTGTTGGCACACACAAATCAGGTGACGAAGAGTCTGCCTCATTTACGTACTCAAGCATGTCTTTTATGAAAGATCATAAAAATGTATTTTTGGTATTTATGCAAGGGAATGGACTGGGTTCTCCTTTATAGTTCTAGTCTCTCATGATAGGCAGTAAGGCATTTCATTAGAAAAATGGGCAATTATTTCTATATTCATTTTTATCTCAGGGTATAAATGAATTTAGGGCTGGTCCACACTAAGCCCCCAGTTCGAATTAAGATACGCAACTTCAGCTACGTGAATAATGTAGCTGAAGTCGAAGTATCTTAATTCGAACTTAAAGGTACTTACCGCGGGTCCACACGCGGCAGGCAGGCTCCCCCGTCGACTCCGCCTACTCCTCTCGCGGAGCAGGATTACCGGCGTCGACGGTGAGCACTTCCGGGATCGATTTATCGCGTCTAGACAAGACGCGATAAATTGATCCCAGAAGATCGATTGCTTGCCGCCGAATCAGCGGGTAAGTATAGACGTACCCTTTGAGACTTAGATAGAATAACCATGGTGATTCTAGTTCCCATGCAGAGGGCTGAACTGCCTGCCTGATTCTTAATTAGAAAGGAATCCCACCCCCCTCCTACTTTCACAAAGTATTGGCAGGGATATTTGGCTTTTTTACTTCAGGAGCATTAAACAGAGATCACCTATTAGGATCAAGTAGGCATATGTCACACAGACGTCTTGTGATTGCCAGAGTACAGGACAGGACAAGCTTTCATAGCCTTGTGTTGTCTTCTGTATTTTTAGTAATGTAGTCAATAAGGTATATAATCAGTTCAGTAGGGACCTATAAGCAGTGTAATTGGTACAGTTCTGTGGAGTGGGGCTCACAAGGCACCTGTTGTGTGACATGAAGCTGTATTCTGTTGCGACTCCAACTGCAGTATAGCAAATGAGGTGGTGGTGCTTGACCTAGCCAGTGGTATTGGTAGCTACATGGATTCATGTGCCACCTGTCCCTCCCTCCCCCTTAGTATTCCAGAAACTACTGTAACTCATTGTAAAATACAACCTCTTTAAAAATATCTCTGCCTGTATATCACACTTTCTTCCCTAGACTTTATCATTCAGGCACTTACTTATAAACAAGATCTGTGTTGATTATGATCTTGTTGGTTCCTGCTGCTTTTTCCCCACCTGAACTTAGAGGGCCAAATTCATACCTAGTGAGCAAATCCAACTCCAGCAAAGTTGCTCCCTCACACCTCTGCACTGCGTTTTCCTCTAAATGTTGTTTTTTGTGACACCATAATCTTTGTCAAAGCAACCAGCTGTGATGTCACAGAAGATACCATAGATGTCTTTAAGAAATGAAGACACGATCAGCAGCTAAGGAATTTTTGAGAAACAAAATTCTGTTTTCACTCCCATGTTTCGAGTAGGGACTGCCCTGAACTCCTGCTCAGGCAAAACACCCGTCAAAGGAGGAGGTTCATAATGAAACAGGAGAAAGAAGAGATAGATAGAAGAGAACGTTTTTCAAGGTTTTCCATAAGTTGCTTGAAAGGGAGAGTACAAGTTGTTCCAACAAGCTCATTTATATTGCTTTTCTCTCTTAAAGAGGCCATTATTTTTCTCATGAGAAGTATAAAACGGTTTCACTTTGTGTTTGTGGGCATATAATATTTATTTTTATTAATAAGCCGCTAGGCCAATATGTCTTCATTAACATTGTTTTAGTTTAAAAGAAACCTCTGGCTTAATTCCCACTAACTTTGTACAGGTGTAAATGACCTACACAAAGTGCCAGGCACTGGAGCATCAGGTCCCTACTCTTCAAAGTTGCCGAAAAAGTAGTATTTAAAGCCTGCGGGGTTATTGTCATCTTCTGGCTAATTTATGAAAACTAGAGCCACGTGCTCAGCTGATATAAATCAATGTAGCTCCACTGAAGTCAGCTGAGATCTGGTCCAAGATCTGCAAATGCATAGAAAACATGGGTGGCTAAGCTTTCCAGCTGCTCTCTAAAACTATACCTGCAGTTTTAATGTCCAAGATTTTGCATGCCCAAAGTTTGAATGTTCATGCACTTTTATACATATATTGAGTAGACATGTGGGTACTTCATTTACATGTGCAAATGCAACTTGCGTGTTCTAATCTGAGTCTGGTGCAAACCTAATTCTAAAAACTACACTTCAAAACTTGACACAACCTATGTTTAGCCATTTAAAAAAAACAAAAACCTAGGTAAGGGCACTGCGTACAAGGTCATATCTTTTGCAACAGGAAAATCCCTAGAGTATTACATGGATATCTATATACTAATTTGAAAATTCCCATGTGAAGCAGAGGACATATGGAGTCATGGGCTGTTTTCCCTTACAAATGAAGTTGAAAACATAAAGTACAAATAATTTCCACCTGCAAAATTGTTGCTAATGAAGTTTCTCCAAACTAGGGTAATTTTTTAATGTGTCACTGGATGGTGTGAGAATTTCTCAAGCCCTGAAAACAGAGAATTCTGAATCTACTTTAATTTTCATCATATATAAGTTGGCACTAGGAGGGGGCTTCCCAGAATAGCTATACCTGTATAGTTCTTCTGGCAAACCTTTTCTAGTGTAGACCTGTCGTTAGACTTGAATTAGAAATTGAAATAGTAAGTTCCATTTTCTTATTCTCTTGCATTCTCTTGCAGTTGTGTTCTTTTGCTTTTCCAGTCCCCAGAGAGTGTTCAAATCCAATCTAAACTCCTTTTTTCCACTGACATTTTAAATCTTGTTTTAAGAAATCCTGAAAACGTTTCTATTGATTTTTAGGGTTTGTACTCTTTCTTCCCTTCCCCCCGCCTCCACCTCCGCCTCCACTTCACAAGCACACTTTAACAAACTATTAAGTTTACAATGTCTATTTGTGTCTGGAAGAACTTGTAACTAGTAACATATTGTAGTTCAGAAGTCTATCTAAAAATAGTAGGGATCATAAACTGCACCTGATCTTGCTCAGTTTGAAGTCATGGGAATTTTGCCATGAACTTCAGCAGGAGTGGGCCCGGCAATAAGTATGGCAATTTTAATCCTTTGCCTTGATTACATTTGTCTTTATTTCTAGCTTATGGAAAATGCAGTGTATACTTTTGAACAACTTCTCAGTCTGAGTAGCCAAGGAGATACAGTGCAAATTTCAACTGCCATTGAAAAAGTCAAACTACGAGTACTAAAGGTAAAAATTATCTGACTCTTAAGTGTACTAGAAAACTAGGGGATCTGCTTAGGTGTTTTGTAATAAATTGAAGGCATTTTTTACATGCATTATTTTAATAATGAGAAGAAATGTGTTTCATACCATCTAATGGGAAATATTTCAATGCATCCACTTGTTTTCACTGACTGGAATGATTGGTCATATTCTTAACTGCCTTGCACCTTATCTATCCCTGTGCAAAATGAGTGTAAAATGCTACCTCTGGTGTAAGTGAGTGGAGAACGCTAATTTAGTAGCATTTTGCAAAAGTGCAAATGACTATTCCAGGTGCAATGCAGTGGAGAATTAGGTCCTTCCTAAATGGTCTGATGACTTCAAATGATACTGTTTTTCTTACTCAAATCATTGGACCATGCCTTTCTCTAGTCTCATGGTATTCCAATAGCTATGGACAAACCATATGGATAAAATTTGGCCCAAACTTGAACATTTTTTGAGGCTCAAAATAATTTGGCTAACATTTAAAAAAAATATTTATGGCACACTTCATTTGCATGCAATACTGCTCTTTTAGGGACAGATCCTCAATTGGTGTAAATTTTCATAGATCCACTGACTTCAGTATAGTTATGACAATTTAGAGGATCTGCCCCCAAAATTCTAACGGGTCCCAGAAGTGGAAGTGTTGAAATACCATGAGAGAGGCAGTTCTCATGGAGAGTGCTCATCTGAATTCTCAGACTTTAAGGTCAGAAGGGACCATCCTGATCATCTAGTCTGACCTCCTGCACATTGCAGGCCACAGAACCTCACCTACCCGCTCCTTTAATAGGCCCATAACTTCTGGCAGAATTACTGAAGTCCTCAAACCTTGAGTTAAAGACACCAATTCATATTCTTTGGGTTGTCTGTCAGCAGGAACAGGCCAACGGGAACAAACTACTTGTATGAATTAATTGTTCTGTGTTTTTTCTGTTGTCTGTTTTGACAGCAATATGATTATGACAGCAGTACTATACGGAAGAAAATATTTCAGGAAGCATTGGTACAGATCACATTGCCCACAATGCAGAAGACACTGGCTTCAGCTTGCAAACCAGTAGGTAACTTTATGGCTCCATGCTGGAATAAAATTAAAGGGAAGGTGGAATTAGCACACTGATGGCTATATCCTAAGCCACCAAATGCAAATTAGCTACAGGTGGTCATGTAAAGTGGCTGGTCACAGGGCCAACATGATCCTGAAGGTGGTCAGTTTAGGGCATCAGTGATGGTGAAACAATAATGGATGTGGATCTGATTTGGGGTGGGGAGAGAATTCAAAGAAATAAGTTCCCTTCTAAAATCTTTTGGCAGCCCTATGCAAATCCCAATCACCTCTTCTATGCAGTGAGGGGTAATGGGAATTATTCCAGCCCTAGAGCTGCAATAACTCTCATGCTGCTCCAGCAGTTTATGGAGAGATAGGAAGGGACTAGGGTCTTTATGCATTTTTTGTTTTGTTTTGTTTTTGTTTGGCAGGGAGACATTGGGGCAGTCTCTGGGGGAGATGATCCCCCAGAAAATCTGATTACAAGGTCAGGGCAGATGTTTGACCCCATCAAACTGATCTTCTGTCTCTGGCTGACAGCCAAGGTTCTAAGTTCTGAGCCTGTAGTTCCATCTTCATGTTCTACAGCACCTCTGGGAGGCCACTGAGCTGAAAGTCTGTTCCTCGCAGTAGGACACTGGAGGAGCAGTGTGCATGCTCACTTTTTTCCCTGTTAACTACCTTCAACACCAACTGCCATGTAGGGGAAGGGAAGTGGGAGGAGTTGAGCAGATACATAACTACTGTGGGTTTATCTTCACTAGACTTTTGTATCTCATGTTAATTGATTGCCACCTAACAAGGGGTGCTTAAAACATTTGTAAAGCTTACTGTGGATACTCCTCTCATGTTTGTTCCAGGCAACAAATCTTTGCTGTTTATCCATTGGATAAATAAACATGAAACAAACATATCTCCTCATTAGTCTTTTTTACTTAGTATGTTTAATCAATTAACATGAGGTACAAAACTCTAGTGTAGACATAACCAAGTGTGGCTGTCTCAGATTTCTTTTCCTCACCCCCACCCACAAATAAAAACAAAGTCCTCTCTGATTTGCTTGGGAGCACAAGTGGGCTGCATGCTTTCCGTGTCTTGCACCACAGAATTACCAGGGCCCCTGAGTGAATAGTCTGGAATGCTCAACAGTCTCAAACCAGAATTGTTCTTTCTATAGTTAAAAGGAATAAGAAGAAATCGATTTGGAGCTGTTTAGAATACTGAAATGTATTGGTGCCCTAAATTGCACTGCCATGTATTCGTTTGTCACATGGGATGATTTAGGAATAACCGGTGTCTTTTCTGTGAGAACATATGGCAGAAATAATGTGTGAAACATAACAGATGCAAGAAATTATAGTGGATAAGCTGTCAGTATTAAATGAATTTTAGCATGTTATATTTGTAAGTCTGTGAATGTGAATCATCTGACCATTAAAATTCATGACTTTTTAATATATTCAAAAGCACATGTGTACATTGTAGGGTATGCCTCTCTATTTCTTTTCAGATCCACAAATCTAATAGTCTTTTTACGGTTTGTAGACAATTGGCAATATATCCAGGATGTGGTATTTATTTGTAAATAAAGCATGAAATCAAAAACTTCTATCACATTTAATATTCTGGAGAATGGAGTCCTCTCATTTTCTCCACTGAACAGGGATAGGGAAGGCAGTGGTGGAGCAAACTTTCCCTGCGGTCACTCTGCTAGTGTGCCTCCATGTACTCAACTCTAGGAGTGAGAGAGTAATATAGTTCATATACCTCTCTGCTGGTAAGCCAACAAGGATGTCTATTAAGACCATTTGAGATGATGTTTTTTGTGATGCAGATACCTTCCTAAGGACTTGACGGAGGCCTCTAGACTCCCTTCACATAAACCACCAAATAGCCATCCAGTGGTAATGACTAAGGCTAAGATTATCTCATGGAGGTCATGGAAGTCACTGAATCTGTGACTTCCATGACATTCTCCGTTTCAGCCCTGGAGTGACGGGGCTGGAGCTGTCACAGCTGGTGGGGGCCCTGGAGCTCTGAGCTGCCGTGGGCAGTGGGTTCCCCCGCAGCTGCCAGCCGCAGTGGGGAACCCCAGAGCTCCTAGCCACCGTGGAGGCAGGTGCTGTATCTTCTCCCTTCCTGCAGCAGGGCTGGGGCTCAGCCCCATTTTGTCACAGTTATTTTTAGTAAAAGTCAGGGACAGGTCACGGGCCTCCGTGAATTTTTGTTTGTTGCCCGTGACCTGTCTGTGATTTTTACTAAAAATAACCGAGATAAAATCTTAATCTTAGTAATGACTCAGTTGCTACGTAGCTGGGCTGTATATGAACCACTGAGCTACAGGTGCTATATCCCAGTAACAAATGCCGTAGTATCCCAGTACCCTGATGAGGATGAATTTGCCTCAGGGGACAGGCATACACTCAGTCACTTCCTGACCTTCTGCATTATTTAGAATATAAGAATTATTTATTTAGAGTGCTTAAGGTGATGCAATATAAAAAGTACTGATAAATGTGAAAAATACTGTGAACATATGCAGCTCATTTAGACCTGGAGAGCTGTCATCATGAAAAGATCTCTCACATAGGAGCTGGCAGGTTCTTTTCTGGGCTGATGAACCCTTGAGGACCCCAGACTGCCACATTTTCATACTTTTATTCCTTCTTTGTGTCTCTGCACAGGAGTTGCAGAAATATGAACAGTACATCTTTGCTGATTACACCAGAGTGATACAAGTAGAGAATGTCTATGAAGAGATTTTATTTCAGACATTGCTTGATGAAACCCTAAAAGGTAGGAATGCTTCTGAGGTGATAGTAACAATGTTTAGAATGTGGGTCTGTGAGGTCTTATTTCAGAGCTAGTGATAAATCGGAGCTGCCTTATTCAGATCCAGGTCCCAATTTTCCCAGAGGTTGAAAGTGTTAAGAGTTTAAGAGTTTTGATTCACCCCACTAAAGAGATGAGGCAAGCCATGAAATTTGGATTCAGATCTGAACTTCCGCAAAGCTTGGGATATTCAAATCCATAGGGTGGTTCAAGCCTCTTTCTAATGCAAATCATGTTACCTCCAGGATACCTTGGTTTCAATGGTCCAAGAAGCAAAGCCACTCTCAAAGCCCTGAACTTTCAAATAATTGATTACATCTAATGACATTCAGACTGAATTTCTCAGAATGAAATATGTTGCCAAAATAGAATTGCCAATAGGTCACCGGAACTAAGAAGAGCAGTCTCCAAAGATCTATCTGTGTGGGCATTGGAGAACGAAAAAGTTCTCAGTCAATATGTATAGGTGATCATAAGGAAGTTGCTGTATTCCACAAGTTCCAAATGGTTTTCTGGTTGGACTTCTGGCCCAAAATTTAGGTTTTGCATTTTAAAAAAAATGAATAGAAATGTTTATGATATTCAATTAAAATAGCTCTCTAGTTCTAGATTTAAATATCCTCCTATAGTGTTGTGAACCCAAACAGAAGCAGTCTGTTAGTGCATGAGAAATGGGAAGTGTAACTTATTATTAACGTTCCATTGTCCAAGCTGAGTGAAATGAAAAAAAGCACAGATAATTAAAATTAGGCCTTGTTAATAATCCATGATATTAGAAACATAGTAAAGGAGTATTTTTATTTTGAGTGTTCTTAAAATGTCAGTTTTTTAGATCCGTTTGATCTTTTTGTCTTACTTAGTAATAAAAGAAGCTGCCATTCTGAAGAAACACAACCTTTTTGAGGACAACGTAAACTTGCCTTATGAAAGTGTGTCCAGTTTAACTGACTTGAAGACCCCTTCAGGATCAGCACAAGCCAGTCCTGCTAAGAAACTATCCACCACTTTAACAGAAACATCAGATACTGAAACTCAAAGTAATGAACTGCTTGTTGTGTCAGAAAAAATGATCCAGGAGAAGTGTCATGATGCTAGAAAGCCATCAGACAATGAAGAAGCAGTTTATGTCAATGTGTCGAGCAGTCCTGCAATTAGTAGAGAAAAGGTGATCAGTACAGACATCACTGACAAACCGGCGTCTCATCCTATTACTCCTAAGGAAGAAAAGGATGTGGAGGAAATGATAACTTCCCAGAATGAAAATGCGGTGGAGACCAAGTTTGGAGGGAACACTGAAAAAGAAAATAAGGTACAAGAAGAGGAGAGAAGTCTTACAGCCCCTGGTACTGTGAATGAGATCAGAAGCTTGCTGATGGTGACAGTTGAATTACCAGCAGTTGCTCCATCTGAGAACAAAAAGGAAGTGGCAAATGAATATGAAATTTTGAAGTGGCAAGAACATGGTGAAGAGAGTGATGAAAACAGCAAAACTAATGCAGAAACCGGTCAAACAGACCAGGTAGTGAATAAAGAAGTAGAACATTCTGAGCTCAAGGTGGAGCAGCCACCTCCATCCAGTTTTGGTACAGGCGATATGAAATTAATGATCATTTCAGAGGCAGGCAACCATGCGACTCAAGCAGAATGTTTGGAGGTCGCTGAAAAACTAGATGTGTCTCAAGAGTCAAAGGCAGAAATGGAGACCAACCAAAGTGTCTGGTATACTGGTCTGGAAAGCTGCAAAGGTCTTCATGACAAATCGCAACCAGAGGCACACACCGAAAGCATAGTTGGAGACAGAAGATCTGATCTGGAGGAAGCAGGTGAAGATCACATTCATGCTGACCCAATGGAAACAGAGGCTGAGAGCTTTCCTGGGTGTTCTGCTGAAAGTCCTGATGCAATACAAGTACCCATTCTGAGTATTGAAAACTTAAGAATAGAAACAACTAATGATTTTCAGGTTTCACTAGTGCTAGAGGAAGAGGAGCTTAGCACGGCAGAGGTTACAGTCGATATTAAATCTGAAAGCTTTACTGTTACTGCAAGTGATGAGTGTCAGCCAGCAGGTGCACCTTCTCTACGTGCTGAAATCACAAGCTCAGTAGGAAGTGAAACTGTCACACAAGAAAACAGTGAGGAGAGCTCTACAGAGCAGCACTCTGAAGAGTAAAAAGTGTTCTTCAGAAATATACAGCCCAATCCTGCAGCCATTACTCGCTCCAGCAGTTCTCTTGAAGTCAGGAATATTCACATGAGTAAAGACTGCAGGAATGGGCCTAATTGCAGTGTTGCCAACTCTTGCAGTTTTATCACAAGTTTTGCAGTACTTGGAGGGTTTTGTTGCAGGCCCAGTTGCTGGAATCAGGTTATTACCTGCGAATCTCAGCTTTCATTTAAAAAAAAGGTAAATTTCTAGCCCTCATTGTGGAGAAAAGCTTGAAAGCATGACTCCCTAAATGCTTGAACACGTCAAGGCAAATAAAAAGAACCAAAAATTTATAAATCTCACAAATTTTAAGACAACTTTATGTTTTTTGGGGGGCCGACTCATGTTTTTTGAATGGTTGAGATTGGCAATATTACAACAGGTCTTAACTGAAGTTAGTCAATCAAAATGTTATTAAATGAATTAATTTAGGATCTGCATTCAGTGTGTTAGAAGGAAAACATTTAAATCTCTCAAGTAATTAAAGAGGAAACAAATAATTAGTAGGCTGTTCAGCAGCCAAATTGCATGTAAACTTTGAATTTTGCAAGCCGACTGATTACTTAAGTATTTTAAAGTTTTGACAGAGATTAAGACAATGAAATGTTCTGTTTTTTTTGCTATATTTAAAACTGGGAAAACACTGGGAGCAGGTTTCTCAATCCCACTCTGCACTTCTGGGTTACACAGCCTTTCAGAGCACTTTACAGCTATTTTCTTTCTTTTCTTTTTTTGGATCTAATGAGAATATTTACAATAAAACCAGCTAGCACCCTTATGCAGCACCTACCTACTGCACTTCCTAGTATACAGTACATTCACCCACAATCCAAAATACTAAGGTCTGAACTGCAGTACTGCCACACGCATAAGACTGTATCACCAAATCTCAAAAGCGTGGGAAATCAGAACGAAGTCTGAAATGTCCCATATACCATAACCATACCATTTACTCTCCAATTTCTTGATGCAATGGAAGGGAAAGTAGTTAAGGAATAGCCAGTTGTGCTTAGGTTTTGGGAGACAAACTGGTCATATTTTCAAAAGCAGCTTCAAAAATCAGCAATGCACAGAAAATCATAGAGGTGAAAAATGGAGTTTTAGTAAGTTGAGCATTAAAATTGTATCTGCAATTTTAGAGGTTGGTTTGAGATACCTTAAAAGTTTGGCCCAGGGAATAAGTACAATTTAATGTGAGTAAGGGTTGCAGAATTGGACCCATAAAGAATAATACTGGAAAGTAATGTCCTTTTCAAGCGATAATAAAGATCTGACAGCATAACCTCAAACTTGTTGGCATTTAACTGTAGGAAATTTTGTAAGGTCCATAGCATGAGACAATCAAACTGTTATACAGTACTAACAGGGAAGTGACACTATCTGAACATTCAAACATCTGTTTGGAAATGCCATGATATTGGTTAACTTGAGCAAGTGGAAGGTTGCTGTTGTAAAATAAATGCTACTACAAGGTGTATTCATACATCATAATTATAGGAATAAAGTCAAATACCAGATTTTTGGGGGGACTAGTCATGAATGTTTGTTTGATGCAGAAATGTTCATACTAAAGTCTCACACAACCAACTGTCAACTAACTGTCTTATGGATCATTCCAGATTTTTTTTTTTTTTTTATTGATACTGAACATTAAGGAGTGAGTTCAACTGTGCTTGACAATTAATCAGTGCATGTCTCTTGTAACCCTTTCTTTGGTGGAAGGACATATTTCCAGTTTGGAATTCTGTGTGATAGAAGAATAGCAGGATAGTAGCAATTATGTCCTACATACAAGACTGCATTTTACAACTAAAGCTATTTAGAAATGAAATTCTTTTGATGTACTTTCTATATCGGGGTAGGCAACCTATGGCACGCGTGCAAAAGGCGGCATGCAAGCTGATTTTCAGTGGCACTCACACTGCCCGGGTCCTGACCACTGGTCCCAGGGGCTCTGCATTTTAATTTAATTTTAAATGAAGCTTCTTAAACATTTTAAAAACCTTATTTACTTTACATACAACAATAGTTTAGTTAGATATGGTAGACTTATAGAAAGAGACCTTCTAAAACCATTAAAATGTAATACCGGCACGCAAAACCTTAAATTATAGTGAATAAATGAAGACTCGGCACACCACTTCTGAAAGGTTGCCAACCCCTGTTCTATATGTACAGAACAAAAGAGAATTTAACATAAACGTTCTCCTCCAAAGTAATATTTAATCATTCACATTACAGGTTTAGATTTGGGGAAATACTTCTCTGTAGACATCTGGTAATTCAGTGTTGACTACAAATGTTTAGTGTGGTTGGTTTTTTTGTAAGTAGAATAGGGAAGAACTGAGAAGACTCATCTCATATATTATCTTTTGTTCTACAGTTTTGAATTCAAGTTATTCATATCAGTAGGTGTTTGTTCTGTGTTTTTATTTACATTTTTCTTGGTTTCTTATGTACTAAGATTAAGGATAAACAGTTGCATACCCCACTTCAACATAGTCTTGGAACATTAAATGTATTTGCTTTATTCTGAATGGAGCAGCACAAAGCAGTCTATGGTGTCAAGGATCTGTCCCCTGGTATTTCCATCATTGGAAGGTTGCTTTGGACCTTTGATCAATAGAAATAGTTTATTGATGAATCATAATTTTTTGTGTGCAATTTTCTTAGCATTTCCAGCAACATTATCCAGATTGAATTTTCTTAAAGTACGGCTAATAAGACTTATCCCTTTACCTCATAAGTTGGGGGTGTAAGAATTAATTGGTTAAGAGTTCTAAAGTGCATTGAAGAGGAAAAGAGCTATATATGTATTAAGTATTGTTGTTGTTGTTATTATTATATTTCTATTGGCTACCAGCTTGAGTAGACAAAACAAGAAACACATTATAACTTGCTTATAACTTTGTAAAGTGCTTATAACTAAATAAAATATGGTCATCCCTTTCATTGCTGGATGTCAGAGGTGGGTTTTTTAAGTGAATTTGATACTTGTGAGAAATACCAGATGCAGTTTACTTCAGATCTCATACATGCTGGTCCATATTTTTATCAGAGGGGTCACTAGAGAACAATCTCAGATTATTGCCAGCTGTAGATCTAAGCTCTGATGCTCCTGGGTGGTGATATGTGATGCTGTCTCTAGAAGAGGTATTGTCTGTTTAACTGTTAGGCTTAAAAAAGAGTTTCTTAAAGTGCTGAAATTCTGAATTCACTTCCACTCGTCATAAACCCAGGTTGTGAGTCCATGTACTTGAACTCTGGACACTGGTGAGAATAAGAGAGAAAAATGTCCATTGTAGCACTGTGGCTTTAATGTTTAAATTACAACAGAAAAGCTGGGACCAATATCAGTGCTGGGAGACAGCCTTTCTTCTCCAGGCTGTTTACAACCATTCAAATGATTCTTTTTAAATCCACTGTTAAATGCAACAAGCTAATGTCCCATAGAAAAATATTTTTGTTTACATTTTTTTTTTTAAATTAGAGTCTGAATTGTTTCTAACTAAAATATTTTAAGTCATATTTTCAGTTCCTTTACCCTATTTTTTGCTATTCAGGACATTTGAAGTAACAAGAGGTTTTCATTTAAAGTCGCAAATCAGGTGACATTATAAGTACTTCCATAGTTTTGTGTTTGTACAGTGCCTAATACAATAGGGTCCTGATCTAGGACTAGAACTTCAAGGTGCTACAGTAATACAATAGACAAGCCAGGATGTCACCAACGTGGAGGGACTGGGAATTTGGGTAGGGAATAAGCAGCAACTGGTACGCCAGATGCCATCCACACAGACTCCCACATGAACTTGTAAAGTGGAAACCAACTAGTGTGAGGAAACGAGGACACCCATGAGAAAGCTAGGAGGGAGGGCAGAAGAGTCAATCTCAACCCCATAGAGCAAAATGGAAGCAGCAGTAAATGACAGAGAGGAATGGAAGAGACTGGTTTCTGCCCTGTGCTCCAACATTTGTACAGGAAGGATGTTTTAAAAAGCAACAAAACCAGAAGAGTTCCTAAAGATAATCTTCCATTCATGCATGTCACTACAATACAGCCATACAGAATGTGCAATATGGTCAGAATTGATTTAAATGGAGTATGTTTAAATGTTTTATGGAGCACTTCCTTTTCGCATTCTAAGCAAGTGTAATAATTGCACACATTGCCTTCTTGGGGACACTAATTTTTATTTTAAAGATGTAATTTCTGCACTATATCAAGATGAACTGACCAGATGCTCACTTGTGCTCTCACCTTTCTCTGTCTCTCCTGGCTGGCAAATTCAACATCAATTGAAATGTAAAGGAAAAATTAAACTCTTCTTTGACTCAATATTGTTCTTCAATGTAACTTTGTCAAAGCAGCCATACTTACCTCATGCCCCACAGATTTAATGTATAATGCCACATATACACTCAACAGCTTGCCACCCACAGCCACCTCCTGTTCCTCTGGTATGGCAGAGTTGACCCTACCCACATAGCAAAAAATTTATAGTAAATGTTTATATAATGCTCACCAAATGCCTGAGCAATGAAAGTAGCCTGAATAACTTAGCCATACTTTCTTTCAGACTTTGCCCAATTTAGGGCTGTACCTTAATTTGCCAGGAGCCATAAGGCTGCCAATTTTTAGGTATTGTCCTCTGGGGCAGGTTCTTGGCATTGTAGTGTTGTGATGCTGTTCTGCTTCATCACCTTCTTCCCCATCAAAAGAGATTTCTAGGTTTATTTTAATATAGGCTGCAAGATGAGAAATACCCTTGTCAAAATCGACTGTCAGTCAAAAGAAAAGAGGCAGCTATGGCCCTCCAGCACTATAATGCATCTAATTAACGTAACATTACAATTATAATTGTGCTGTAGATTGCTGGCTAGTATTTGTTGGCTACATCCCTCTACTGGATACAATCAGAAGTGCTTAATTTGGTGTCATGGGCTCTATACTGTTAACACCAAAAAGAGATTCCTCTTCAGCCAGTGGTTAATGTAGACTGCAACAGTTCTTAACACCAACCAAGATGATAGAGGGAGCACTACTTAACCAAGCTGGAGAGAGGGGAGATATCTTTGCCTCTAGCTTCTCATTACATCAACCCCCTGCCTTTAGCTGCAGTGGCAGTGGCCTATGCTTTGGTAGTGGGAGCATCTGGGTTGTCACAAAAATCTGAATGGCTGGGGATGACCATACATCCCTTATTTCAAAGGACCATCTCTTATTTCATTGATTTGTTGTATGAGTAAAGGGAGGCTTTGCAGAGCAGTACTTAAGGAATGAAACTGTTGATTAAATCTTGTTTTCAGTGTAGAAATCAACCTGAAGAAACCTAGTCGCTTTAACAAAAGGTTTTCCTTTTGTGTTCTCAGACGGCATTGAATTGCACATCTAAAATGAAAATCAAGGATGTGGCTTTGTGTTTGAGACTTTGCCTGTTAAAACATTCAGAAGTTTTTCTACCCAGCCCTCTGTTTTTGCACGTGTAAAAACTATTCTTATATGCACTTGTAACACAAGTAAGGAAATGCTAGGAAGACTTGAGAAAATTTCTGGAAAGGTAAAGGTTCAATGGCTAAGTAAACAGAAAATGCTTGCCATATATGGACACCAGTATGCTTTATTGCAAGGAAGGTACAGTGAGTACTGTGTGTAGGGGAAGAGGTGGAGCTTTGAAACATGGTATCCAGCTCCTCTTCCTCCCAATTTCTTAAAACTGGTGGAATTTATATATTCAGTCCTACCTCAAATTCAGCAGTGGAAATAATATTTTCCTTGTGTAAACAGACTTAGATTGCAGAAACGGACTACATTTTTTTTAAGGCTGCACTTCAAATTAAGTAAATATCAATTGTACATGTAAAGAGTTTTATAAATTGGTTTAAAATGTATTGAAATGTATCAAAACTGATCGTTAGTACCATTTTAAACATTAAATTGAAGTTTATGATAATTCCATTGTATACTTCAGGGCAGTAGAAATGTACACTTGAGAGAGAAATACATGATATGCTAAGGGAGAAAGGGAGTTTCCCTAAAACATCCCTTAAAACAAAGCATTGTCCTTATTTTTCACGTGATTTTCCCTTATTTCCATTCATCAGAGGTGGTCGCCCTAGAATCTGAGGCACAGAGCAGTGAAGTGATTTGCTCAAGGTCACATTCAATGCTAATGCTGGGCAGTGTCCACACAGGCTTCAAGAAAATATAGGACAACTGTGTAAGATACTCTTCACTGTTTTATTCATAGCAAAGTCATTTCCCAATAGGGCCAGTCTCAAGCTTAAAAAAAGTCAGGCCTCAAAAATCATATATTTATTTGCTTGGGGATGGGGTGGGGGGAGACTTGGGTGGAAGGTCTTTATTTGCCTTTTAATTTCTGACCCTTTGGAGCTACATGCAGATGCTAGTTTCAAGCTTGTGCTGAATGCTGCAAACTTTTTTGTTTAAATGAAAGCTGTGGTTCTCACATAACCACAAGTCCAGCACCTGGGGCTTTTAAAAAAACGCCAAATAGCATGAGACTACTGCCAAAATTGTGATAGTTGGGAAATCCCCCTTCCCTTAGGCAGTAAGTGCTCCTGTGTGGGGTGAATGCTGAGAAACAAGACATTTGCCCCACCCACAGTGACTTGTTACATGCAGCAGGATGAGTGCGGCTCTAGAGCCAGCAAGAAGAGCTCCCAAGCCACTGCATTGGCTTGTAGGGCTGCATCCACCCTCGTTGTCTATAAGTAAAGCCCTTTATATAACGCCCTTTCAGGGCACCTCACAAACTACTGGTCCTAATGTACAATGCTCTCAGAGGAGCCATGCGGCTCAGACTCATCCAGACTACAGCTCCCAGAAGGCAGTGCTCCCTCCAGAGTTTAGCGACCAGCTCGGGGTGGAGCGTTGCATGCTGAAACTTGCAGTCCCCGCGCGCCATCTCTCGAGCCAATAGCCGACCCCTCCTTTTGTCCACGTCTCACTCCACTAAAGTCTTTCACCGGAATCACGTGGCACACAAACGGACCCCCCCCCAACCCCTTCGGCTCCGATTGGTCCACAGCGGCGCCACGTGACGGGCTGAACCCGGAAGCCGCGGAAGGAGATTGTTTCCTTGGCTACGCCATAGGAAAGCGAAGGGCCAGTCCTTTCCGTTCTCACGTCGGCGGCGCTGAGAGCGGCGGCAGCAGCACCAGCCGCCGCCAGTGAGAGGGGCCGGCTGCGAGCGGCGAGGATGGGGCTGAGCCGGGCCTAGCGGGGCGGCGGGCAGCTGCTGCCATGAGCGGAGCTGCTAGCGGTGAGGGCGGGAGCGGGGACCCCACAGCCCGCTGGGGGAGATGGAAGCTGCTGGCCCTGGGCCTTCTCTCCGCCTCCTCGGTGCTGGCAGCCGCCCCGGGCGCCGGAGCCATGAGCAGGGAGGAAAAGCGCCGGCTCGGGTAAGCGGGGAGACGCGGCGGGGGCTTGGGGGAGGGTGGGTTGTGCGCAGCTGGCGAGCGCTTACCCTGACCGGCTCCAGGCATCGCTGCCCCTTGGGGCGGGTGGAAGTGGCCACCGCCCCCTCTGGCATCCCTTTCCCCGGGGGGCTGACCACTGTGACTGCCTTGCGACAGCCCCCGCGCTGTCAGCTCCGTCTGCAGGGGCTCAGCATCTGGCCCCGTGGAAGGGGTGCGGACCCTGTTGCTTGCCCCCCCCCCGCCGAGCGTGGGGAACACTCCCCCATGGGGCCTGGCCATTGCCCCGGCTCCCACTGGGGTGTGGCTGAGCCCCACTCCGCCCACGCATGGATCTCGGCCGTGTGGGGCTGATCCCCAGCCAGCGACCTGCGTGACGTTCCCAGTCTGCATGAGAGTGGTGCCTAGCCCCTCAGAGATGTACTCTGATGACCTTGTCCTTCCCTGAATTTTTGGTATGACAGTCACATCTATCTGCCTATCAGGTCATCTTCCCCCCTCGTGGTTGACACCCCTAGTATCTGTGTGGTCATGAAAATGTCAAGTCAGCCATTGTATATAATTATGGGTAAAAGTGGTCAAAGGTCACAACCATACTCACTAGGTGTTCGGCATGTTGGTCTAATTATGACAGCGTTTCTGGAACACGTCAAGGTTTTAGAGCAATAAGAGATTGCATCTTTCATATTGATAAGAGTTGAGATCATCCCTGCCCAGTCACTGTGAGCAATAAAGTAGATTGTTTAGGGAGCCCAATTTGCATGTGTGTATAAAGCTAATTATTTAAAAAACTATTCTTATATGTAAAGGATAAAGAGTACAACATCTGTGATGAGGTATGTATTCCAGTGCATAGAGTACGATTGTTTAGAAGGCAGTTCTGCATTCTGATCATTATTGCCACACACTCCCTGTGTCACCTTGACAATTTCATTACCTCCTTCGTGCTTACTGTCATCTTCTGTAAAATGAAGATAGTAATATTTCACAGGGGTGTTGTGAGACTTCATTAAGAGGTTTCATTATACAGTTATTTGATCATTAGGTAAAAGGCATTATTTAATTATAATATGTGCACTCATTGGATCTTTCATCCAAAGATCTCAAAGCACTTTGAGTACATCACAAAGACTTGAAAAATACCTTAGCTATGTGTTCCTCACATGGCTACCCCAGTAGTTTAGACTCCTTTCCCTGGCCTGTTTACATTTTTAGGTGCATTGTTTAACTTGTTATATTCTGTATGCGCCATCACCATATATGTATTGGTGAGCTAGGATCTACCAGTACAGGCAGAAATGTGGACTGCTTCAGGTATTTGTTCAGCTTTTGCAATGCTGCAGAGGTGGAAAGAAGCCACCTTCCTTTCAGAGGTGCTTATTTACTAAGGGGTCTGGGTTGGAGCACCTATGCTAGTAGGAGGTGATACACCTCTACCTCGATATAATGCTGTCCTCGGGAGCCAAAAAATCTTACCGTGTTATAGGTGAAACTGCATTATATTGAATTTGCCTTGATCCACCGGAGTGCGCAGCCCCGCCCTCCCGGAGCACTGCTTTACCGCGTTATATCCGAATTCGTGTTATATCGGGTGGTGTTATATCAAGGTAGCGGTGTGTATATATAGATATACGGTAAGAATGTACCTTCCACAGAGATCCCTTCAGATAATGGTCTGAGAATACAGTCCATTTCAAGGAGAAAAAAAAAGTTATAACCTTTTAATGTGCTAAATCATTATTGGACAATGTTTATAGGCTTAGACTGTGATCCTGCATCTGGATCTGTATGGGTAGACCACATGGTCACATTGAAGTGGATGGGGCTCTGTGTGGGCCTAGGATTTCACCTGCACAGCTAAATTGCAGAATTGAGGCCATCAAATGGTTATAATTGGTGAAATGACTGAAAAAGGCATCATTGGGGGTCCATGTTTATTCTTTTTCCTAATTTCATAATAAGCTTGTTTAGATGAGTTAAAATTATTTTTTTTTAACTGCGAAGCCAGTAATCTCAGTTGGGTGTTTGAAAATCTAGCTGAGTTCTTCTTGCCTCTTACATCAGCTGCAACAGTAATAGATATTTTGTGAACATTGTTGATGATGCCTAAGTCAGAATAGAATCCAACTTGCTCTGTATTCGCATTACTAATAGTAGGGAAAAACCTCTTTTGTTAGTAAAATAGTCTTTGCTAAGACAGGAAGCAGCTATTGAGAGAGTGAGTGCCATTGAATATAGTGACATTTCTGATCATGACCACTATTTAGACATTACAAATATATACATTCATAAATAATATTGAAACTATTTTTTCGTTACTTACCAAGATTGTAATTCAGGGAAAATGGAGCCTGGTAACTTATGATTCCACTAACACGTAAAATAGCTTTGGGTGTTGATGATACCAACTGTTGCAGAAGGAACACAGAACTATGTACTGGGGTTTTGCTGAATGAGGAGTGTGCCTCCCGACTGGTTCTTAGGTAGAAAGGTGGGTGCTTCTGTTGGTGAGAGAGAAAGAAAAGGGTTTCCAGCAACACAACTCTTCTTCAGGTCCGAGAAAGAGACTCAGGGTGTCAGCTAAATACAAGACCAAACAGATTGTTTATCATAAGTAGTTAGCACATATTCTAAGGGACCATTCAAGGTGAAGTGGCCTGTTTACACCCCTGTAATCATAGAACAAAAAAGGGGGTTAGTGGCTTACAGATTGTTGTAATAAGCCATAAATCCACTGTCTTTATTATGGCTTTGTCTACACTGGGGGTATGTCTACACTGGCACTTCATCAGCAAAACTTTTATCATTCAGGGGTGTTAAAAAAAATCCCCCTGAACGATAAAAGTTTTACCGACTAAAAGCACCGGTGTGAACAGCGCCTGCTGCCGCTTGTGGGGGGTGGAAGTTTTTTGTCAGCAGGAGAGCTCTTTCATGCCGACAAACAGCGGCTACAGTGCGTGCCTTTTAGTGGCACGGCTGTAGCAGCACAGCCATGTTGCTAAAAGCTGCATATTATAGACATAGCCTAAGACTATGATTTTTAGTGTCTAGCAAAGTATCTAGTAGCCTATTTGGTCTTTTCAGTATAATAATTATGATTAAAAAATGAAAATATACTGCACTGGAAAACTGGATTTTATGATTGGAAGTTCTTTTCTCTTTGCAAGTGCAACGCTCCCAGAAACAAATAATTGCACAATAAATTTAGGGACATTAACAAGTTTTATTCAGAAGAAGCCCCAGTATTGGAATAGCAGTAGTGTTACAGGACTGGCCTGTTGGGGGGTCAGTTTGCACACTACCTGCTACTCTTGGACTAGCTTTAGATAGTGTTTCATTCTCCTCTCTTTCATAAGGTCCAAACAAACCATAAAATATCTTGCCACTGGTTGTTTTACTTCATCAACTTTACTTAAGCAAAGTTCCAGAGATGAAGTGAATGTTATGTATTTTTATGGGCATCTGATATTAATCTCCAGATATTAAACTACAGTACTTTTATTGTGTTAAAGTTTGACAAATAGAAGAGGAAATATGAAACTGATAATTAATTCAACAAATTTTTTCCTGTTCCTTTTCTTAGGAATCAAGTGTTAGAAATGTTTGATCATGCTTATAGCAATTACATGGTAAGTAAAATACCAATTTCTTCAATTTTGCTTACATATAAATTAAACTTTGTTTTGCATTTGTCAGCAGTTTTATCATCGACCTGGCAGATTTAAAAAAACTTGCTGAAACTCTGTTGGGGGAAAACTGAAGTTGAAGTTCGTATGTGCAGCTTATATGATTTTCTTTTGAAATGTCTAATTGCATATGAGAAATATGAATGTAGGGGGATAGTAATGTTTGATCACAGGAACAGTAGCTAGGAATTCCTGACAGGTTACTTAACCTATACTTGATTTCTTCCCCCCCCTCCCCCGATCTGAAATGCAGTAGTCTTTAAGCATTTAAGTGTTTGTAAAGATATTTGAAAATAAAAGGTGCTAAGTTATGGAATTTAAAAATATTTTAAAGGGAAGAAGATGTTGCAATACAGTCTTAAGGTCTGATTTTTCCAGTTGGATCCTTACAGGTGGCCTACAAAGCTAAAAGCTAATGGGGCTCTGTACAGGTAAACCTGCATTTCTCTCATTGCAGGATCAGGACCTTACTATGTAAACTTGCTTGCTATTCTTAATGTAGTTTGTCTCCTCTTATAAATTTCTTACTAAATCAGTGTTCCCTTGACTTATTTGGTAGCATGAGACCTCTGAACAAAAATGTTGCAAAATACCTACAGACCAAGAACACTTGAAAAGATACGTGTCTGTAGTTATCAAATTCTAGTGAACACAATAATTGTTAATAATGTATTGGTTGTGCTACTGAATAGTATATAAAAATGTTTATATATTCCTGCAGATAACTTTGATTACACTTTGTCAGCCTAACATTAATTATGTAACCTCATATTGGCCTTGTGATGTTATATTTGTTGTAGATTTTGCAGCCTCTTTGCTCACAAAAGTTCCATTTCACTTAAAAACCCTGTAGCATCAGACCCATATTGCATAACCTGGTGCTAAATAGGCAATTGTAATGTAATTAAGTGGTCCACATTTGCTACTATTTATATGATATATAAAATATATATGTGTTGTGTTGTCAAAACAATTTTAGGTCTCTTTCAGTTGTCTTGGACATGAGACTGTTTTGTTGTTTAGTCAGTCTTGTTATATCCTAATTTATTAGTTTGGTCCTGTTCCAGAATAAATGTTTTTATTTCAACAGTAGAATTTCTACCTTTAAAATGGTAGTTATTGATAAGAAGAATACAATACTATCAATACACTGAAATGGGGAAACAGGTGACCCCTGTTAACTGTACATCTGAAAATCTAAGGCCATCTAAGGTTTTTTCCACAGCCCTGAACGACATAAGTTATACTGACAAACACGGTAGTGTAGACACGGCCTGAAATACCAGTCATTCTTATGGTACCTTAGTCTAGTAAAGTATGTTCTTTTAACAAAAGCATTTTAATTGTTTTCATCTTTGTATTTTCTCGGCTGGGCATATACGTGTTCTTATTACAACACAGACCTTTCTTTCATAAATTGCACCTGCTCACACATGGAAAATCACTGTCCCTTGAGAGTATGTTGACTGTACGGCTCAATATTATGTTGTAACCCTTTAACTTCCAAAGAGGTTAAAAGTTAATGAGACATGTAAATAGATAATATATATAGTGAATGAGATTCTTTGCTGTTTATAAATACCAAAGGTATTAAAGCACAGAAGAGAAGCTATTGTGAGGATTGTTTTTTATTAAACATGTTTAAGTATGTAGGCTATGAAGTGATACAGAATTGTTTGATTTTTGAAAAACAAAACTTCAAGTAGTTGTTTTTGGTTGACATTCTGACTCTTCTGTATATTGCCTAACAGTGTGACTTGCAACTGGCTTCTTTGGATGGAAATAATTTCTAGTTAGTTACTTGAAACCTGACTACATAAAAATGTCTGGCTTTCAATCTGCCTTGCTCTGTCTTTATTGCTTTTAATTAGAGAACCTACCTTGCCTAACGTTGGACAAAACTCTTAAGTCAGCTGAGATATTTGTCCTTTACTTTGCATTACTGTAAATTTGAAGCTAATAGCTACCTTCTCTACATTTGTGGCAAGAAAATGTTGGGTTAAGAGGAAGTATGACTTCAGATATCCTGGAAGCATGAATGTCAAAAGGATATTTACTTGCCACGTATGCTAGAGCATTAAACAAACAAGTCACATTCTGTGTTTGTTTAACTTGAAGTAAAGACTAGAGTTTCAACCTTGACACTGATAGCAAGAAAATTGTTGTTTTTTTTTTTTTTTTTAGCAGTTTTTGAGACAAGGAGCTGAAAATTGTTGATTTACTATTTCTGTGTTTTTGGACTTGAATGGATTAGGCTCACATTTCATGTTTGCATGCAGTGGAATATCTTTTATACTTTTTCATATGTCAATTGGGAGGGCAGATAGTAGCTTTGTATTCCCTCACCGACAAGTCTAATAACTAGGAGCATTTCTTCACACTCTCACAAAGGATATGTGAAAAGCCAGTTGTGTTAGTCCCTTGGGTCAGTAGTCCTAATCATACAGCACTGGCAGCTGTGTGCATTTTTTGCAAGTGGAATGTAACAGTGTTGTTCTTAATTTAGAGTCCTGACATTGACAAATAGGGCTGTTTGGTCTATCAGGACATGTTCTTATAAATTTAAGACATACAGATGTTTAAACCTATGTAGTTTGTGTGCCAAATTTTGCCCTTGATACATCTCCTCTTTATCCACTGATCTCAATTGAATTGGAAGGGGGTATAGCTCAGGACAGCATTTGGCCCCATAGCCTTAACCCATCTCTAGATAGATCTAGATAACTAACCTGTATTCCCTCATTTTTAAGAGTGTTTCCTGCTCTTCAGGATGTAGACTATTACTTTTGTTTTAGTGAGTAATGTTCCCTTTCTGTCTGTCTTGAAGGTAGTTTTATCAGAATTACCTGATTATTGGCTTTCTCCACAATTTTAGCTAGTGATCTCTTAATTTTGAATTTGCTTCTACTTCACAGTTCATTAATCAGTTTTTCAGGATAATTGTACAGTGTACTATATTCAAAATGAGAGCTATACCTTGGCTCTGGTAGCTGAACTCAGGAAGATTAGAAGGTGGTGATAGGACCAGAGTTTTCAAAGAACAATAGGCCATCAATTGAAAAACAACCCATACTTTTTCTTCCCTACCCCATGCGTCTGGATAAACAGTCACACTAATATGTCACAGCACATACTCATAAATGATATTGTATATGTTCCACTGCATATATTCATTTGCTGCAATTTTGCTTCTAGTATGCTGCTCATTAGATTTCTACTCTAAAATTAGAATTAGATAGTATAATACAGCAACCAGTGGAACTGAGGTAGACCTGTTCTATCACTAATTGTTCCCTCATACTACACATCTTATAGGAAGTCAACACCTTGCACAACATTTATTTTAAGTATTTTTTTGGTCTTTATAAAGCTTTATTTTCCTAATTATATTGGTGATTCTCATAACTTGCCAAAAAACCTGGGTTACTGTTCATAATTAAAATTTGTATGTATGTTTTTATTTCTTTACATGTGTCATTCTGGTAGTGGTTTAAAAATAAAACTGTTTGGTGAAAAGCTTTGAATTTACTAGCCCAAGTACAAAACTTACTTTCCTGCGCTTTCCTCTATTGATTACTAAGAAAAAAGCTAGCACTTTATGTGCTTGTCAAAAAAGCCAGGAGCAAATAGAATTTTGAAAAGCTATTTTAAAAAGAAACTTAAAAATCAAGTCTTACACCAAAATATTTCACCAGTCTCTGATATCACTCTTATTTCAGTTTCTGACTCTCCAACTTTAGTACCTTTTATTTTGACAGTTACCAAAACTCTGAACTAGGGCCCTAAGGCTTGATTTTGCTCACATTGAAGTCAGCTACAAAATTTGCATTGACTTCAGTGGGACCATAAACAGGTATTTTATTCAGCACACCTGATTTGGGCTATACTGACATTGTTGATATTTCTGACTGACTGAAGGATGCTAAGTACACCTCTATCCAGATATAACGCGACCCGATACAACACAAATTCTGATATAATGCGGTAAAGCAGTGCTCCGGAGGGGTGGGGCTGCGCACTCTGGCGGATCAAAGCAAGTTCGATATAACATGGTTTCACCTATAACACGGTAAGATTTTTTGGCTCCCGAGGACAGCGTTATATTGAGGTAGAGGTGTATGTAGTGTTAGAGTAAAACTGTTTTGCTAGAGCAATGGAAAGTAATCCCTCTCCTCACCCCTGAAATGGCCATCATTTTCAAAAACTACTCCAAACTTGTCATGTTTTCTTTTGTTACACATAGTCATTTGGTTGTATTTTATTGTTTTATATTCTGACTGAGTTCTTTTCTCATCTTCACTGATTCTGTGACCTTGGACAAATCACGAAGGCTAAAATTTTCAAAGCATCTAGGTCCAGTTTTCAAAAGTGGCTTAGGAGCCTCTATCCCTTTGATTTTTTTTCAGTGAGACTTAGGCTTCTACGTCACTTAAGTGCTTTTTAAAATGTTATCCTTAACCTTTGAACTTCCTTGTCTCCTTTCTGTAAAATGGAGCTAATTTGCTCATTTTACAAAAATGAGCAAGTCTTCCACCCAGACTGTTTTTGCATTAACGCTGGACGATAGATTAGTTCTTTAATAGAGGAAAAAGACTATTCGATTCACAGTGTAGATCTTCTCCACTGCAGAAATGCAATCTCTTGTGCATTTGTTGCAGGAAACACAAGATGGACCTCAAGTGTTCAAATTGAGCATTTATTTTAGAGATGCCATTAAGTACTCCAAAACTATTGTTTCTCTGGGGCGGGGAGGAGGGGCATTGTACTATATGGCCTGGCTGCTAGTATGTTCTGTGTGGTTTAACGGTTGTCAGTCACTGACCATGAAGAGGAAGCTGCTACTGTGTTATCTTGAGTTTGAGTTTAGCCAGATAGATGATACATAGATTTTTCATAAGTTTACTACAATCCTGCTTCCTTTCAACAGGTTACAATGATTTAATTAAACTGAACTGTACTCTCTTTACCTTCTGGTTTTGTTCTTACAGGAACATGCCTACCCAGCTGATGAACTCATGCCTTTAACTTGCCGTGGACGGGTTCGGGGTCGGGAACCAAGTCGTGGGGATGTAGACGATGCCTTGGGAAAGTTAGTATTTGAAGCAGTGATTATCTTATATGAACATGCAAATTTTAACACATTTTGCTGCTAATACTTCAGTTGATGCACCCTCAAAACCCTTGTTTGATTTTCTAGATCGGGGTGGGCAAACTACGGCCCGCGGGCCGGATCCATCCCATCAGGGCTTTGGATCTGGCCTGTGGGATTGCTAGCCCCATGGCGCAGCGGGGCTAAGGCAGGCTCCCTGCTTGCCCTGGCCCCGCGCCGTTCCCGAAAGCGGCCGGCACCATGTCCCTGCAGCCCCTGGGAGGAGGGGGGTGGGCAGAGGGCTCCGTGCACTGCCATCGCCTGCAGACACCGCTCCCCACAGCTCCCATTGGCCGGGAATGGTGAACCGTGGCCAATGGGAGCTTCGGAGGAAGTACTCGCAGGCGAGGGCAGCACGCAGAGCCCTCTGCCCCCCCTCCCCTCCCACAGGGACCGCAGGGACGTGGTGCTGGCCGCTTCCGGGAGCGGTGTGGGGCCAGGGCATGCAGGGAGCCTGCCTTAGCCCAACTACGCACCGCTGCCACCCTGGAGCCGCTCAAGGTAAGCGGCGATGGGTCAGAGCCCAAACCCCTGCCACATCCCACAACCCTCCTGCGTCCCAACCCCCTGCCCTGAGCCCCCTGCCGCATCCTAGCTCCCTGCCCTGAGCCCCCTGTTGCACCCTCCTTCACCCCAACTCTTTGCCCTGAACCCCTTCCTGCACACTGCACCCCCTCCCACACCCTGCATTCCCTCCTGCACCCCTGCCCAGCCCTACATTCATGGCCCTGCATACAATTTCCCCACACAGATGTGGCCCTCGGAACAAAAAGTTTGTCCACCCCTGTTCTAGATGCGCACAAATGCAGAATTGTCATATTATAAATGAGAGAGGTGGTGGGAACAAAACATAGTTTAGTAATTTCTATAGCCACTTTTTCCTCTCCTCCCATGAGGTTAACTGATATGTAGTTATTCCTTTATCAAGAAAAATGGAATTGATCTCATCAAATGGGATAAGAGTTTAGAATAGTTTTGGATAGTACAATTTTTTTCTTAGAGAAATCATCGATACATCAGTGCACACTTAAGGCCGCCAGTGAATTCAGTGTCTGAAACGGGTGTGGCTGGGTTCATTATCAGCTCTTCAGAGCAAGAGACTATTGGCCATTGTGCTAGTTTAATAAGCCACATTTTAAATGACAGAAAGCTTTCAAAGGTAACTAAAAACAAGAAGTCAAACTGACTCTTACCATCATAAATGTAAACTATTCATTAGCTCCAATTCTGGTCAGTAGGAGTTGTTAATGTCTATTCAAAGAAGAATAGGTTTAATCGTTGTCAGTATTTACACCTTTCTGTTTAAATATCCATAATTTAAAACTAGCATATTTTTTATCAACTGGCAATCTATGATGATTGCATCATATTATTTCTAAGATTTTTGGGTTAAAAATAACATCATAACATAATATCTACCAAAACCATGCCGAATTTTAATTATATATCTGGTTTAAATTTTATTTCATAGGTTTTCACTGACATTGATTGATACCTTGGACACTCTTGTGGTAGGTTTGATCTGTTTTGCAATGTTTCATTGACGAATAACTGTTTATCTACCTCTAGTCAGATTTCCAGGTTAGAATTCTGTTCTTTTGAAATAAACGTGAAGTGTTAAGTAAGGAAACTCAGTTAAGTCTCTTATTCCATCAAAAAGGCAGCTACTCTGTTGTAAAGACCTGTAAACAATGGATACAATAGACAGTGATGTTACTTGGAATTTTTTTTAAATACTAAGATACTTCCTTACTTGTAGTTGATCCAAATGAATGCCCATTGTGTTGCTGTTACTTATTTTTTTTTAACTTATAACAGTAATATACATTTGCTTCCCCTGCTAATGTAAGGGTTTTTCTACACTTAAAATGCTGCAGCAGCACAGCTGCATCGCTGTAGCGCTTCAGTGTAGATGCTACCTGCACCAATGGGAAGGGTTCTTCTGTCAGTGTAGGTCACAGGTGGGCAAACTTTTTGGCCCGAGGGCCACATCTGGGTATGGAAATTGTATGGTGGGCCATGAATGCTCACAAAATTGTGGGTTGGGATGTGGGAGGGGGTGAGGGCTTGGGCTGGGAGTGTGGCCTCTGGGGTGGGGCTAGGGATGCAGGAGGGTGCTCTGGGCTGGGACTGAGGGGTTCGGAGGGCAGGAGCGGGATCAGGGCTGGGGCAGGGGGGTTGGGGCACTGGAGGGGGTCAGTAGTGCAGGTTCCGTGCGGCGCTTACCTCAAGCAGCTCCCAGAACCAGCAGCATGTCCCCCCTCCGGCTCCTATGTGGAGGCGCAGACAGGCAGTGCACGCTGCCCCGTCGCTTGGGGTGGGGGCAGTGGGTGAAGCCCCCTGGCTGCCCCTATGCGTAGGAGCCAGAGGGGGGACATGCCGCTGCTTCCAGGAGTTATGCAGAGTGGGGCAAGTCCCCAACTCCGCTCCCCGGCGGGAGCTCGAGGGCCGGATTAAAATGTCTGGAGGGCCAGATGCGGCCCCTGGGCCATAGTTTGCCTACCCCTGGTGTAGGTACTCTGCCTCCCTGGGAGATGCTGTTTACACAGAGGGTTAGGTCAGTTTAACTCTGTTGCTCAGTGGGGTGGATATTTCACAACCCTGAGTGATGTAGTTATACTGAGCTAAATTTCTAGTATCAGAGGGGTAGCCGTGTTGGTCTGGATCTGTAAAAAGCAACAGAGAGTCCTGTGGCACCTTTAACAGATGTATTGGAGCATAAGCTTTCGTGGGTAAATTTCTAGTGTAGACCAGGCCCAAGTTAATCTGTTGACTTCTGGGGCTTTTACTCCTGGGGGAATTCTATGCCAAAAAATTAAAAATTCTACGCACAATTCTGATTATTTTATTTGTGAAAGTAACACAATATAATCATGCCAGTTTCAATTATTTTGATAATTCATTTCAAAATACTTATTAGCAACTATGTCTGTAACAATACAGACAACAAAAAAGATTCCCTCAGGAGTAAAGAGGAGTGAGTAAAGAAACCCCTACAAAACCCCAGTTCCTGTTTCTCTTCCCCTCCCCCCTCACAAAGCCCAGCCACAGGGTCCCCCCCAGCCCAGATAGCCGCACCCCTTTCCCCCAGAGCCCAGCTGCAGGTGCCTCCCAGCCTAGACACCCACACTCGCCTCCCAGAGCACCGCTTCGGGGTGCCCCCCAGCCCAGACACCCGCACTCAGAGCCTGCCGCAGGGGCCTCCCTGGCCCAGACACCTGCGCCCCCTCCTCTCAGAACTTAGCCGCGGGAGAGCCTCCCCCGGCCCAGAAACCTGCCCCCCCAAGAGCCCAACCGTGGGGTGCCTCCCCAGCTCAGACACCCACACCCCCTCCCCACCCTACAGGCCAGCCGTGCTCCCACCCCAGAGCCCAGGGATCCAGAGGGAGAAACAGCCTGATGCTGCACCCCAGGCTTGTATGGAGTTTCCTGCATGTCGCCTCCTTCCTTCAGGCATGCCAAGAACTGCAACTGCGGGGAGCTCTCTGGCTCCAGCAGTGTCTTCTATTTGTGAATTGGGCTCTGCCGGGTCCAATGGCCCCTAGTGGCCACAAGTAGCTCTGCAGCACCAGTTCTGAAGGAAAAAAGACCTTTGGTCTGACCGAGTATGGCTGTTCTTATGTTTCTTAGGCAAAATTTACAGTACAGTACAGTTCTTGTACTAGGTGAATTGAAAAATATTTCTTTTGTTTTTTACCATGCAAATACTTGTAATAAAAAATAAAGTGAGCACTGTACACTTTGTATTTTATGTTGTAATTGAAATCAATATATTTCAAAATGTAGAAAACATCCAAAAATATTGAAATAAATGATATTCTATTATTGTTTAACAGTGTGATTAATCACACGATTAAAAACTATTACTTTTTTTAATTGCATGATTAATCACGATTAATTTTTTAAATCACTTGACAGTCCTATTTTCAGACCTTATAGCAGGCATGAGCTTGAACTGTGGAGTTCAGTTCCAGATTTCGAGGAATAGAATATGTGGGTGCAGGCAGTAGAAAACACTGAATACAATGCACTATAGTGAAAGAAAGGAACAAAATTGGGTAATCATCGGACACATTTTCAGTGAATTGTTCCCTGTTGAAAACTACTTTGTCATTGACGTATGTCACTATAGCAAACCAGACTAACACTGATACCTGTTCACATAATCTATCCGAATATGATATGGTCAGGCAGAAAAACAATTTGAGCCATCTTGAATATTTCCTGCTTTTTAACATGTTGAACTTTATATCGTACTTGAATGTCTGACTACACTAGCACTTTTTGAAGTTGATCAGTTTTACAGCATCAGAACCTAAAATGACTGAAGTTATTTTTGTTTTCCAGGTGTTAAATAAAACCAAAGAGTTTGAAGATGCTGTAAAAAATGTGATAAAAGATGTTAATTTAGATAATGACATAGTTGTATCAGTGTTTGAAACTAACATAAGAGTCCTTGGGTAAGTAGCTAGTTTTCTTCATTTTCAGTGCACTTAAGTGTGATCTCAAGCTTCTGTCCTGTCAAACATTTCCTTCCACATCACCTGATGTTGAGAATGGTGGTTTCCCTGGATCAACAGAATTTAACTTCTGTTGTAGGAAGGAACTGATATAATAGATGTCAAATTCAGTTGGCTGTCGACACCAGCAGGAGAGCTATTTTCAATACCAATTGAAAAAAGTGCCAGGATAGCAGTGGCTGACAACCTGTGTGTCAAAGCTCATTTTCCTAGTGTACACATGGCCTCAAAGCTAAGATTATGTTAAACATTCGATATACACGATGTCAAATTTTTCTAGTTTATAAAATTCAACTTGTACAATTTCATGGGTTCTAGTTATTTAAGTTTTGAGTCAAAAAGGAGTGTGCAGTATATTAGGTCTGTGGCTAAGGGATAATTCTGAAATGTGATAATCACTCTTGAGAATGAAAAACACAGACAACATCTGTTTGTATTTAAAAAAAAAAACAACAACATCAAGGTGCTGACAGGTTCCTTCAAAGAAGCTTGTTTATAGATACTAAACAAGTATGCTTCTCAGAATCAGGGGTGGCTCCAGGTACTAGCGCAGCAAGCGTGTGCCTGGGGCGGCAAGCCACGGGGGGCAGCCTGCCGGTCGCCGTGAGGATGGCAGTCAGGCCGCCTTCAGTGGCATGCCTGCGGGAGGTCTGCCGGTCCCGCGGCTTCCGCGGCAATTCGGTGACGGGCACGCCGAAGGCACGGGATTGTCAAATCACCCGCAGAAATGCTGCCGAATCCGCGTGTGCCTCCGAAGGGGCTTGTGGCGGCAAAAAACATAGAGCCACCCCTGCTGAGAATTCAGATATCTTTACTATTGTTTCAGAAAGTTTTCACATAGAAGTAAATGATCATATTTGATTACTAGTGGCTTATATAAACATCATCACTTCATTTAGCTCATGATAACCTTTAAGATACTGACCTCTACCCCATCCATGTGCAGGATTAATCATTTAGTTCTCTTCAGTAATCTACTACTTCAATGTGTTTTATATATATTCAGTGAAATGCTATAGGGAACAATTTATTGTTAATGATCTGCTCATCACTCCTTAAGTCTGTTACTTACAGAAAAAAAAAAAATTCACCCTAGTCATTAAGTGCTTGTTTTTTTTTCTTTTCAGAGGTGCACCACAGCTTCCATTGATTTCAATTGGAATTGTATGTGCTCACACTTCTGAAACACACATCACAATTGTTTATACAGTGCTTGTCATGATATAATAGAATGATAGAAATTATTGCACTACTGTGACCTACTGACGTGAAATACATGTGAATATCTTTTCTTGTGTTTAGAGGTCTTTTAGGTGGGCACTCTGTGGCAATTATGCTGAAAGAAAAAGGTGAATACATGCAGTGGTACAGTGGTGAACTTCTCCACATGGCAAAACAACTGGGCTACAAACTTTTACCTGCTTTTAACACTACTAGTGGTCTCCCTTATCCAAGAGTAAGTGTTTTATAATCCAGATCATCCTACACGATAGGCAAGACTTTAATATTTCAGGAAGTTATGTAGTAGAAAGAGAGAGAACCTTATTTGTGACAGATTATGCATTAATTTTCTTTGTATCTAGGATCAGAAAATAGTTCAGTTGTGAGTTAAAAACAGGCTGGATGTCCTTGCTAACTAGGCTGTGGAGGCATTTGGCACAGAATTCATTTAAACTTTTTTATAAGCCCGTTTTTCATTAGTGTCAGTTTTGGGTGTAAACAGTTATCACAGATACTTATATTTTCCATACATCTAATAATGCAGATCAATTAATATTTTGTGACTGGTGCTAACTAATTTCTTAAATTTTGTTTTGGGCTGTCTAAGCTTGTTGCTTTTCCAGGTTTGCTGACAATGACCCAGAGTGCATCATTCTGACTCATTAGAGATGGCAGAAATCTCATGAAACCACTGTCTACTAGTATCTTGCACCTCTAGGCATGACTAAATAATCTGGGACAACAATGGTGTTTCAGAGTTACTTAAAATTTACTGATGTGCCTTCTACAGCCTGGTTAATTGGGATTGTTCAGCATGCACCTTTTGGGTTCAACTCAAAATTCACCTAACTTTTAGTTTGCCTATTTAAAAAAAAAAAAAAGTCTCCAGTTTTTTTTTGTTTTGCAAAGGTTATTGTTGGGGTATAATTTGGAATTTTTCTTTATATTTGTAACTTTTCATTACATGAAGCTAAAGCATGGCACACTCTTAGCTTATTGGTTAATTATAATGTATCAGACAGAGCAAGGACTTACCTAGGATGTGGAACACTCAGGTTCAAGTAGCCATTACCACTGGGTTGTTGAATATATTGGATTCTCTCTCATTTTTTACAAATAATTTTGAAAGGTCTCTGTTTTGACCTGATGCAGAACAAGAACATTTTTTGAAATCTTGAATTTTTTTTTTTTTGTAGGATGAGAAACAGTTTCCATGCAGCTCTACTTCTAAGTGACATAGGCACTTCTGAAAATTTTACCCAACATACCTTTTTGTGGCCGTAGAGTTAAGAGTGGTTGTAGTGTCAGCTGAGACTAGATTAAGTTTGTTTTTTAATAAGAACAGATAAAGTACAGTATCTAAGTTCTTATCTCTTTCCCATCATTGACGTATATATATTTGCAGCTAATAAAAGATACAATCTCTACTTTCTTTTAGGTTAATTTAAAATTTGGTTTAAGAAGTCCAGAAGCTCGAACAGGAACAGAGACTGATACCTGTACAGCTTGTGCAGGTACCTTGATACTTGAGTTTGCTGCTCTAAGCCGATTCACAGGAACATCAATATTTGAGGTTTGCTTTCTATAGTCTTTTATTTATTGGGGTTAGATTTTGAACTGCGTGCTGTTACATTATTGTAATTCTAATTCAAATCCATGGGTAAAGAGTGAAAGAATTTCGGATTAGTTGTATTTGTGGCTGGTAATGGATTTTGCATCTTTTAGCTTTACTGTGCACAAGGATAAGTTGTGTTTTCAGAAAAACACTAATATGGCATATCTAATTAAGTACTATTTTAAATTTTTTATTCAAAAAGTTCTAGAAGGTGATTTACAGTACAAGTAGTAATATCAATACAAAACTAAGTAAACTTAATCTATTGAAGAGTCAGGTTAATAGACTCTCTCCAAGGTGCTTGGATAGAAAGGTTCTATTGATTTGTTTGACTAACATTGAAGAAGAGAATTGAGGCACATGGTATTTAAAGTGCATTTCTGTTCTGAAAATTCACTCTGAGAATAGCATAGTTAACTTTCATGTTTTATGATTTCAAGGCAAATGAGTTTAGTTTATGTTCTCCTCTTCCCTTCCCCCCCCCCCCCAAAAGGTGTGCTTTGACTGACAGCCCAGTATACTTAAATAGGGCCCTGACTCTTGAGCTTGGTTCATTCCTTCCTCCATACCTTCATTGCTAAAAAATTCTGCAGACCAGATTAGGCCCTCAGTGACATCTGTGGTCTCCAAGTTATGCCCTAGTGACGTGTGCAACCCCCATTCTCTTCACTGGGTTTGTACAGGTGTACTGATTGCCATGCAACACAGTTTTTTTTTTTACTTCATAAGGGGAAATATAATCTAGTTTCTCTTAACTGTACTGGCTGTGCAAGTCTAACCGGAGTAAAAAGCAGTAAAAATGCAGGTACAATTCTGAATACACAGTTAAGTGGAATAACAAGGTGCTAGTTTCACACTGCCACTTTTAAGAGTGGAACTGTTTTTGAAATGCATTCTCTTGTTCTGCTTCATTGAAAAGCAAAAAAGATATTAAAGTGAAATAGTAAAACTAAGGGCTCTAACTTCTTTAAATAAGGCTTGTAACTTTACAGCAGTATAAGTTTGGTGACTGCAATTTATTCACTAAAGATGTGAGAATTTTCAAAAGTGCCTAAGTAACTATTCCCATTGGAAAGTCAAAAATATCTGACACATACTGATAGGGCTTTGTCAAATCCGAGCGCTGGACTAGAGATCTGAGACAGATTCTCTCTTTGATGTAGTGTGTAAACAAATTAAACGGGCTCAACCAAGATTTATTCTGGGTTCAGCTGTAAGAGATTTTCCATTCTTAATTTGATTAACCAAATATTTCAGAGTTAATTCCTGGAGTACACGGCTAGCTTTCTGTTTAGATTATTGTATCTCAACACATCTTAAATTATTCATGGTTTACTCCCTTTTAATACCGATCTATTCCCTTTATGTAACATATTGCAATACAAACGATCTAATATAAACTGCCCAAGCATTTGGTTTAAAGCCTTTAGAATCAGAGACTTTTTGCATATTTTCAACAGCCCTCTGACTCTCACTGCTGTCTGCCACTCTCTCCTGTTGTTTTGTAGAAGGGAGTCACCATCCAAGAGACTCTAAGTCAACAGTGCCCTGTTTCAGCCAAGTGAGCAACCAACTCAGATTCACAGTAGTCTGTATGAAAAGTGCTGTATACATAGCTGTATTGTCTTCCGTTTGTAATGTTAAAGATAGAAATCCTCTGAGAGAGATGGGGTTGGATTTTTAAAAAGCACTCAGTGTTGGCCTAACTCTATTCTCATTAAAGTCAATGAGACCAGTTAGGCCAACACTGAGTACATTTGATTGTCTCACCCTTAAAACCTAGCATGCCTGGCTGGTTGTCTGTATCCTTTTTTTGGCTAGGTTGTCACCCCAGTTCATGCCTCCCTTTGTGTATTTACAGGGGGCTAATGCACATATTTAGCCTAACTATTAGATAGCGCTACTGTGCCACCTAGGAACATCTGAAAAGATGTGTGTGGCAGTGAGGATGGGGTAGGCATAACTTAGAAGGCAATCTGACTATATCCCATTGGATTAGAAGAAATTAGTTGTTGCACCATTTCATTAGAGGGTCTTCAAATATATAAGGTTTTTGTTTTTTGTTTTTAATTTTTGAAGGATTTTTTAGTGGTTATAAACAAAAAGGGTCTTTATACCTATTTTGTCGGTTGGAAACAGAGGCACAGACAAGTTAAGTGACTTGCCCAAAGCTATATAGTGTGTAGATGACCGTTACAGATAGAATACAAATCCTTTTAATTAGCAACAAAATGACTGGTTAAATGGAATAAGTGCTGCTTTTCAAGAGAATTCAATGCATTATTGAGCTTCGTAGTTCTACCTTTAGGAAATTCAGTCTAAATATGAATCTCTCTATATAATATATTCTACTTCATAGCTCCATTATTTTAGTGGACAAAAACCCCAAAAGCTTGTATACCAGCACCTGATGCTTTTCCTTGCCTCCTGCATTGATTGCTCTGTAATTACACTTAAATTAAAATATTTTTTGTTGGTTGCAGGAATATGCACGGAAGGCACTTGATTTTCTTTGGGAAAAAAGACAACGCAACAGTAATTTAGTGGGAGTTACCATTAATATACATACTGGAGACTGGGTCCGCAAAGGTATGTGGCTTTGACTCTAAGACCCATGATCACATGCAGCTCTTGGGAGTTTAAATTATTTTAAAATACCATCAGGAAGGCAAGTGGACTTTCAGATCTGAAGAAACCAGGTATAATGAAGCCTGGTCTTTCTCTGCAAGAATATCTTGCCTGAGAAATCAGTTTTTGTTTCAAGGAAAACATTCCCTAATTCCCTGGATGCTGAGAGATTTTAGTGCTAAATTTTCAAAGAATCTACTTTAAGTGCACAGTAAAGTACAAATAAGAGCGTAATTGTGTATTCAGGCCAATAAAAATATTTTTCTACAAGGAAATTAAACACTTGACTTAATAGCATGCCTGAGCATACTCTTATGTTCAAATGTACTAGAACACATTTTCAAAAAAGTAGGAAAATACTGCACACCACTCAGTGCAGCCCTTCATTAATCTACCTGCTCCTTTATTTGCACCGTCAGTTGTCCTGAACATCCCCTCTTTTCTTTCATTCAAACAATAGCCATTGAAATGAAATTGAAAATTAGCAGTTGAAAACTTTTATCCATGAAACTATTTAAATTTAAAAATACAGTACTTTTGTATCTTGTGCTATTTCTAGATAGTGGAGTTGGAGCAGGAATAGACTCGTATTATGAATATTTATTAAAAGCCTATGTCTTGCTTGGAGATGACCGTTTCCTGGAAAGATTTAATACAGTAAGTTGATTTAACTTTTTGCTCAAGTATTTTCCCCATTTAAGAATAATTTTTAGTGTTGTCTGTTAGCTGTTAGATTCCTGCTTTGTACTTCATGGACTTTGCAAGGTTTTTCAGACTCTTGCAATGTCTATACTTCTCATTCTTTCTGTTGGGTTGTAGCCAAACTTGAATTGACTACCGTACCCAAGTATGTTCCTCTCCCCTGCCCGAAAAGGGTGCAGTCCTCCTATGTAGCTGTGGGACTGAAGGATCTCCTATATATCTCTCCTTGTTTGCTTCCCACACCAGTATAACCATAACTTTCTAACCATGGAGGGCTGTATTGACACTTACTTTGGAGCTCAACAGTGCTACTTTTACACTGTTTTACAGAAAACCCTATTAATGTAAGGCCTCTCTTATCACAAAGTAAGCTGAAAGCTCCTGCTGGCTCTCAGAGCAACAGATAGAACCCGAAAATCAAATTCTGGGTTTCATCTATCGGAGCAGACCCATGAGTACAGAGACACTAAGCCAGCCCAATGCTTATATGATTATAACCTGCAAAAATATATGTGCCCTTGTTCATAGGTTTATTAGATTCATAAGACTGCTAAATTTTCTGAAAATCATGATCTTTTTTCACTAAAATAATACAGAATGGTGATGCACAAATGAAATGAATTTTCTTGGTTCTTGCAAGCAATATAAAAGTCAGAACCATACAGTTAAAAGCCTGCCACAACAGTAAAAATAATGTATATTGCTAATGTGTATAGCTGCCATTATAATAATTTAATTGGGCTTCCTATTTGTTCAGCCCTTGATATAGTATTACCTCCTAAACTCCTCAACTGAAAGTTGAGGACTTTATATTAAAAACTGCAACGCAAACACAAATAAGAGAGCTGTCCTGGGGAAAAGAGGGATTAGGAGTGGGTAAGCAGACAAGTTATCCAAAGGGTTTTTAAACTCTTTACAGCAGTTAGTCCTGTTCAGTGTTTTTCTTATACATGCATTTTGGAGTTCTCTGCTTCAGCCAAAGTAAGTGAGAAACTGCAGCCATCTTTATTGCTGTTAGCCAGCTTAAAAACCATGCCACAGGAGCCAGTCAATGCAGATGAGGTATAGTAGCCAAACAGAGAAAAAACTTGGATATTCATAGTCATGGTTGCTGAATATATTTGTGCACATGTATATGTATATATTACTGTATAGCTGTGCAATAATTATTCAGGCTCTTACATTCTGATTTGCGTAAATAGGAACTGTGTCTTTATTTATGTATCACTAATTGCAGGGGTGCCATTCCCTGAAACCATTACCTTACTGAAATGAAATACAGCAAACTACTGGGTTCTTCTTCGAGTGATTGTTCATGTCCATTCCAAGCAGGTGTGTGCGCACTGCGTGCACGCCAGCCGGAAGATTTTCCCTTAGCAGAGTCCGTAGGGTCAGCCTGGGCGCCCCCTGGAGTGGCTCCTCCATGGCGTCCAATATAGGAGCCTGCCAACCCTCCACCCCCTCAGTTCCTTCTTACCGCCAGTAACGGCTGGCTGGAACTTTGCTGCGCTCCCGCAGCAAGCCTACCAGTGTCTCAGTTCGTGTATATAGTTCTGATTCTCATAGTTTTATAGTTAGTGTTAGTTGGAAGTTAGTCAGCCAGCTGTTGGGGGGTTTCCCCCCAGCTCAACCCTTGTCCCCTCCTAGGGCATGCCCAGGTTCCCAGGGTTTAAACTCTGTGCGATCTGCAGGAAGTTTATGCCGAAGAGTGACCCGCACTCTTCCTGCTTGAGGTGCCTCGGAGAGAGCCACCAGAGAGATTGATGCCGTATCTGCAAGGGGTTCCGTCCCAGGACTCTCAAAGATAGATAGCAGAGACTTAGAGTTCTCCTGACGGAGGTGGCCCTGCGGCCGCACGCAGACCCCGAACCCGCTGACCCGGCGCCTAGCACCTTGTCCTCGGTGCACAGTGCTCTGGCACCGCTAGTAAGAGGGGAGGCCCAGTCTAAGGACTCCAGACCCCAGCGCCGGAGAGACTCAGGACATAGGAAGTCGGCCTCCATGCGGCACTGCTCACCATCCCCGGTGCCCGCGAAAAAGAAGAGGCCGGTGAGGGGCTGGTCACCCCATCAGGACCTTAAAAGGCCGGTGGCGTCCACAAGTGTGGTGGGAAAAGCCGCGCCACTGGCGCCTCCTCTGAAAGGTCGCGCTGACTCCTGTCCCTGTTGGGGTCCAGTCAAGTCTGGACTAGTCCCAGTCCCCGGACCATCATGAGAACGTACGCCTCCCATCGACGCCGGAGGCATTCGAGGCGGCTTCGGATCTGATGAACCTGCTGGTGCTGGCCTCCCCATGCAGAAAGGAAGAGCCGTCAGTAACTGCCTGACTCCCGATCCAATCAAGTGGCAAGCCGGCCATGATGGCGCCACAGTCCCCGCCTCGCATGGTTCCAGCACAGAGGGAAGTGCCTCCCCGTTCCCTGGCCTCGTGGCACCGCTTACTGGTAACCATGGGTACTGCCCCCCCTTGGTCTTCATACTCGGAGACCTCGGAGTTGGAGGGGGAATCCTATCACTCCAGCAGATCAAGGAGCAGGAGGTCAGCTTCACAGAGAAGTCAGCAACCTTACCCAGCACCGTGGCAGCAGCATTGGCAGCTGCCTTCCCAGTGGCCTTTCTGGACTCCCTGGGCTTATCATTAGACCCAGGGGCAGGTGCACGGTGCACGCTCCAGGTCCGCGTTGATCTCCACGACGTCGGTAGCTCCAGCGCAATTGCCTCTACCAGTGGCATCGCCGTCCGTGAGGGGTGTGCCACCTATTCAACAGGACCTGGCACCGCCTCCTCAGACACTGGCACCGATGGGGGCCATGTCTTCGAGGCCACAGGCACCGCCCAGCATGGCTCGTCGTTCAGCGTCGACCCCGGTACCAGTCGTGGTGCCGCCCCCTCCATCTGCACCAGCCACGCAACCCGAGTACCGTGTGCTGCGGGACCCTGCAGGAGCTGAGGGTAGCGAGGAAGGTCGTCTGCCGGCGATTTCCTCCTCTTCCTCGCCGGATGAAGCGGTTGTGGGGACTTTGATGGCACCGGCTCTGGAGGACAACCAGGAGCTTCAGCAACTGCTCAGACGACCTGCCCAGAGCCTGGCTATTCAGGCTGAGGAGGTTGAGATGGATGTGGACCCGGTAGTGGACATCCCAGCTCCCTTGGGCCCATCTAGGGTCGCTTTACCGTTAATCAAGATGGTAGTAGACACTTCCCTACGGCCAAATGGACGGAGAGACGTTACTTTGTACCCTCCAAGGGGCATAAGCATCTATATGCCCACCCTCCCCCGGACTCTCTGGTCGTCGATGCGGCCAACCAAAGGGAACGTCGGGTTCCAGGGGTCTACCCCAAAGAACCAAGAGGCCAAGAAGCTAGACCTCTTTGGTAGGAAGGTCTACTCAACGGGGGGCCTGCAACTGCGCATAGCCAACCAACAGACTATAGTGAGCCGGTATGGACACAGCACATGCTCGACCTTGTCCAAGTTCGCTGAACTCCTTCCCCAGGAATCGCGAACAGAATTCTCCGCTCCGGTGGAGGAGGGGAAGCTGATCTCATGAGCATCCCTCCAAGCAGCCCTGGACGCGGCGGATGCAGCCTCCCGCACACTGGCCACTGGAGTGGTGATGCGGCGAGGGTCCTGGCTTCAGATTTCCGGCCTTCCCCATGAGGTCCAACAGACCATCCAGGACCTTCCCTTTGAGGGACCCACGTTATTTTCTGAGAAAACGGACAAGCGGCTCCATAGCCTAAAGGACTCAAGGGCTACTTTACGCTCGCTCGGCCTGCACACTCCGGCCACTCAGCGTAGACAATTTAGGCTGCAGCCAGCCCCGCTGTCGTATCAGCCCCAGAACCGCCCACAGGCTCCACACAGGAGGAGTAGGAGTGGCAGGAGGAGGCAATATCCGTCTGCTGGACAGTCTTCGGGCCAACCAAGGCCTCCGTTGGGGCCTAGACCCCAAATTTGATGGTGCGGTCAAGGACGATCTCCAGTCAGGACCTTGGATCCTACCAACCTTACCTTCTTGTCCCGTCTATCCCCTTTCTACCGTGCTTGGTCCTGAATCACATCGGACCGCTGGGTGCGCCGCATGGTAGAGAGGGGATATTCTATCCAATTCTCCTCCCTACTGCCCCACCAGGCCCCCTCCCCGTCCCTCTATATCAACAAACAGAGGGGTGCACGCTCCTCTCCCCTGTGCCAGGAAGCCCTCGCGCTATGGGACTTTTGCGTAGAGCATGCAATTCACTCGCGGATGCCTTCCTCCTCTCGGCGTGCACACACCTGCTTGGAATGGACATGAACAACACATCTCGAAGAGCAACAGTTACGAGAAGGTGAGTAACCATTTTTTTTATGTCCCTTTTGAAAGAGATGTGAGCTCATGATGTTTCTGTTTTTGTTAGCACTATGATGCCATAATGAGGTACATTAGTCAACCACCTCTTCTGCTTGATGTTCATATTCACAAACCAATGCTAAATGCTCGGACCTGGATGGATTCTTTGCTTGCGTTCTTCCCAGGCTTGCAGGTAAGGTTTCTAAAACCTCCAGTCCCCAGATCACATTAAATGGATTTACTAATAATTGTTCATAAAAACAAATATGAAAAATACATAATATAGTTGTTGCCATTTAGGCTCAGTAATTTAACTTTTAAAAATGTTATCTGATGTGGAAGAGGGATTTGTTTGCCTTTGCTTTCTCTGCTGGTTATATTAAATCATGCAGCCATCACATTATTTCCAAGTTTGTACTGGCTGTTAAGAGGGGAAACTGTCTGAACTTTCATACCCTTTCATTATCTACCTGGCTCTGCTGCTTTTACCTCTTAACTCCTTGATGATCATGTAAAATGCTTGACTTAAACTGTAATAGTCTTCCGCAGAAGTTTTTTTAATTCATATGCAAATCAGTTTTTAGGGGAGAGGAAAAAAAACAAACTCCTGCAAGAGTGGAGCAAGATAGTTCTCTCCTCTCCTCTCTCCCCCCTTCGCTTAACTCTCAACTATAGAGATCCCTTTTCTTCTTAGGGTATAGTTCTTAATTGTCAAGCTCACAGCTTACTGATTTTGTTACCCAAATTCAAAGTGGTGCCCAAAAGGTTCCAAGGCATATCAGATGCTCAACTTCCATTTCTAGCTGTCTAAAATATATACCTGGTCACCCTACTCATGGGTCTTAAGGCTTTCTGTTAATATTTCTGTCTTACCTTTGTCATTGGCTCCCTTCATTATATCTCCTCTCCTGCCCCCCCACCCCTCCAATGTATATGCTACAGATGTTTGTCATGAGTTCCCTTGCCCGTCTTTCCTACATGACCTCCAGATTAAATGACTTTGCATAGTCTTCCAGATTAAATGATTTTGCAACTGGTGGCAGTGTTGATTTTCAAAACAACCCCACCCCCACCTTTTTCACACCCTTCTCTGAGTGTTCATTGCTGAATCTCTGAAACATGATAAATTTCCTGTTTGTATTTCTTCCCTCTATTTAGAATAAATCTTTGTAAGAATACATTTTGTATGGATGCATAAAAAGATGCATAGTTTGGAAAAGAGAAGACTGAGAGGGGACATGATAGCAGTTTTCAGGTATCTAAAAGGGTGTCATAAGGAGGAGGGAGAAAACTTGTTCACCTTAGCCTCTGAGGATAGAACAAGAAGCAATGGGCTTAAACTGCAGCAAGGGAGGTCTAGGTTGGACATTAGGAAAAAGTTCCTAACTGTCAGGGTGGTTAAACACTGGAATAAATTGCCTAGGGAGGTTGTGGAATCTCCATCTCTGGAGATATTTAAGAGTAGGTTAGATAAATGTCTATCAGGGATGGTCTAGACAGTATTTGGTCCTGCCATGCGGGCAGGGGACTGGACTCGATGACCTCTCGAGGTCCCTTCCAGTCCTAGAATCTATGAATCTATGAATCTATGAATCTATGAATAGTCTCTTGTTCCAGGATTTACTTACAACCAGATTCAGAAGGCTGATATTATGATTGCATGAGAAGTCCATTCTGCAGCCCGCTAGGCCTTTAAAATCATATGAGCCACTCTGGATTCCCAAGGGACTTTAAATATCTGATTGAGAATCTGTCCTTAGAGCTTTCAAAAGCAATTCTGGTAGCAAAATTTGAACTGAAGGGAATGGGTCCGTTCAAGTCCTACAGATGCGTTTTGTAACATCTGTCACAAACCTGGGCAAATTCCCTTTTAAACCAGGATTTCAGTCCGAGTATGATCCAGTCCTCTTTCCCGCAAGTCAGTTATGATTGCTGTGAAATAGTGGTCTCTTAAGGGTTGCAGCCACTCATATGTGTCCTATCCCAGGCTAAATAGAAAAACATAAATAAAGCAGATTATACACTGAAACAGAGGATCACGATTTACTGTATTATTGTGTATGCTGGCAATGTATACATTGGTGTGTAGTCTTGTACAGATATCATGCCTGACTTTTATGTATTTATTGCTATTGTTCTCGATTTGTAGGTATTGAAAGGTGACATTAGACCTGCTATTGAAACTCATGAGATGTTATATCAGGTGATAAAAAAGCATAACTTTCTTCCTGAGGTAAGGCGGGAGGTTATATAAACTGATTGTGATCTCAGTTCAAGTAATACTAAAAAAAATATAAAATAAAAAAAAAAAAAAAAAGCTGGTCCAAACTCACATGCACAACTGGAGTGGTGTTCTGGATATGAAACATTTTTCCCTGAGATATTGTAACTACCAATAGTGGGAAACAATTGTTATATAACAGATAAGTGATAGTGAATAAATTTTATTTTTTAAACTGACCGTGGATCACTTCACACTAGTATACAAAGTTTACATAACATTGATATGAAACTATCTTCTTGGTGATGTAATGGCTTTTTGCTATTAAATCACACTGACTTTTCATTTCCTTCTGTTTCTTGGTAAAGTGAAACCTGAATCTACTGGAGAAGTAACATGTTCAGGGCCATATTTGCATCGAGCCTCTGAAAACATACCTACGGATATTGTGTTGAGCCTGAAAACAAGTTAATTGTGCACACAAAAGCCTGTTTGCCTGTGTACAATCATTACTGGAACGTTTGCATAGGCACTTAAAAATTTGGTCCTTGGTCTTCAGTGGGCAGAGGCTTTCTTGTTTTTCTGGTACTCATTCGATTGCTGACTAGCTGCTGTAGTATTCATACCGTAGGTGGCTGCTTGCCTGTCCTAGCATTCAGAGATAACAAGTCGCAGTTTTGTTTTGTTTCTAACATAATCAGACCTGCCTATTCTGGATCTATTCCTTTGCTACACTTGAAGGATGAATAACTTTGAAAGTCTGACTTTATCCCATCTACATGAATCCAGAATAGAGCAGAATAAATCAAATGGGCGCATAGGGCCTAATTTTGAACTCTGTCTTTACTCTGAAGTAACGCCATTGCCTGACTTATACTGGTGTATGTAAGATCAGAATCAGGCCTGTCATCAGAGAATATTACTTTCTATCAATTTTTTTTCAAAAAGTAATCTTCTAACTGTTGACAGGAATCCTAGAGCAAATTTGGATAGGGTCTTTTTATAATTAGAAATGGAAATAAATGAGAAAGGAGTAGAGCTTGTTGATCAGGACTTGCACCTTTCTGCCTGTTTGTTTTGAAATCTAAAATAATAATTCACTGTCTGTATATTTTTTATGCCTACATTTATTTATCTCTATTCTTTCTTCCTCAGGCTTTCACAACCGACTTCAGGGTTCATTGGGCTCAGCACCCTTTAAGACCAGAATTTGCAGAAAGCACCTATTTCTTGTATAAAGTAAGACTACTTTCTTCATCACTTTGGCTTTTTGACACTTGGTACTAAGGTTTGGATTTTATTGGTGCTGCGTCCCAAAGCTGAAAGAGTAGAACTGGACCCCAATTCGTCTACTGGTGTCAGAGTTAAATGTTTATGGCATGCAAGCCAGATGTAGGCACTCTTTGTTATTAGAAAATGTCTTCAGAGTTTTGTTTTATAAGGCAAGGATTTTCAAAGGTACAAAGGGGCCCAGCCCCTTCAGATTCAGTAACAGTTGGGTGCCTGAGGCCCAGATTTTTAAAGGTATTTAGGCATTGCTGCACTCAGCACTGCAAGGCCTAAGTCTTATTTTCAAATATCTTTAAAAATCTGGGTGTAACTCCCTTGTCTTCCTTTGATTGTCATAGGAAGCTTGTCCATATAATGTAAATGGTAATGCACTCTATTTGAAAGGAACTTTCTCCTCTGCATATGGCTCTTCTCTTTTGAAACAATGACATTAAATTTCATGGATGTGTAAAAAAGGCAACATACCAGAAACTAATGCATAGCAAGTAGTTCTAAAAAAACAGCTATACATTTTACATGACATCTAAATATTGTGCAACTTTTCTAAAAATAGGCTACTGGGGACCCTTACTACCTAGAAGTAGGAAAAACGCTCATTGAAAATTTAAACAAATATGCTAGAGTACCTTGTGGATTTGCTGCAATGAAGGATGTTCGTACTGGAAGCCATGAGGACAGGTAAGTGTGTAGTGATTTTTAAGTTTATTAGAAAATATAAAAGGAGTCTGATTAACTTTTTTTTTGTATTGAGATTAATTGAATTTTGGATAGATGCTGATGGTGTATTCTGTGTTCATCTAAATAAACCATCCCTCAGATTATGCATATTTGATTTGATGTTAATGGAATATCTGTAGTCTAGTCTAATTGGCCTTAAACACCTTCAAAATTCATAGCCTGAAATTATAACATTTCTGTATTAAAGTGAAGACAGCCTATTCTGATATTTTCTTTATAGATCTTTTCAATAAAACTTGACAATGGTTAAGTAGATTAAATTTGAAGCATATTTCATTTGAAAAATGTTGACTTTGGAATTCTCAAGCAGTATATTATTATTGTAACACCACTTTTCCATTGAACTTCTTGAACTGTTATTTTCCTCTGTAAACACAGTTTCCTCCTACTGGAATTCTGCAGTAGTTGCAGCACTCAAGCAGGGCTAATAAGCTCAAAAGTTATCATTAAGGCTGCAGATTTGTCACAGCCTTTTTTATTAAACACAAAGCAGTCTCGGTAAATTTAGAACAGCCTGTAAAAGCTGCATCCCCTGCCTGAACCCTGACACTGTGGGTTAGGAGGGGAGGACCCTGGCACTTTCCTCAGCCCCCTTCCCAGGATGGAGCATCATTGGGAAGGTGGAATGCAGCCGGGATGCTGGAGCTTCCCCCAAGGAGAGCAGCTGCAGGAGGCACGCAGGGCTGAACAGCACCTCCCTCTGCCCTCTCTGGGCTGTGCTCCGTGCCCAGGCTCAGGCTCGGGCTTAGCACAACCCAGTGCGGCTATTCAGCTCAGTCAAATACGGCCTGGCTGCCCTGCTTCCCTCCTTTCTCTTCATCATGACATACAGGAGGCAGATGAGCTAAACCTGAGCAGCGCTGCGACTGCATGTGCCAGGTTACAATGCACAGAGTGGGGAGCTGAGCCCAGCCACCCAGGGCAGGATCTCCAGCTGTGGAGAAGTCACGGAAAAACAGGAATATGACCCTGTTTGATTTTTTTTCCCCACCATGACAAACCTGCAATGCTAAGTAGCACTAACTATTTGGAAATTGAGGATCCTGAGCATTTGTTTTACTGCCACTTTGGGAAATAGCACTGTTCTTAAGGCTATCTTCTCTCTCTCCGCCCCCTCCCTTGCCCCATAGAATGGATTCTTTCTTCCTGGCTGAGATGTTTAAATACCTTTACCTGCTCTTTGCTGATAAGGAAGACATGGTTTTTGATATAGAAGATTATATCTTCACTACAGAGGCTCATCTACTGCCTCTTTGGCTCTCTACTACAAACCAAACAATGTCTAAGAAAAATACAGTGAGTGACCTTTTTAAACTTTAGTCTATTTTTAATACCACTTTAATGTGTTTTTAGGTGGAAAAATCAGGGTAATGGGTAAGTTTAAGCAATATAAGATTTTTGACAGATGTTTAATGCAAACTGTTTTATCATGACAGTAATTAGTGGCACCCATGAATATTGTCAATTTTTTCCATGACCAAACCTGTTTTTTAGGTATTTATAACTGAACCATAAAACCTTGCTCCAGGCTGGAACTTGGCAGAAAGGTATCAGAACACACTTGCTTATAAAAAACAAACCAATAAAACCCTAATCTTCAGTTTTTGTGTTCAAATAAATACAACATTTTCTTGTTTTGTGGAGCTCAGATTTATTTCCTCTTTAAAAATACTTTAACCATAGGGTAGATTAAATTTGCCAAGTCATTTTTTTATATTAAGGGAAAACTAAAATGCAGAGAGAGCTAGCCTGCTGACCTAGGGTTTAGTACCTGGGAGGAAACCCAAGTTAGCTTTCCAGCTCTAGGGCCAGATCCTCAGCTGGTGTAAAATGTTGAAATCAATTGAGCTATAGCAAATAGCAGAAGTTGAGGCTCAGGCTCTTAGTCTCCTTCTCCCCAGGTCAACTGGCAACCCGTTGAAACACCATACTCAGACTCTGCTGGAAGTGGTCATGGTGATGTAGTCTAATCAGTACTTTTCTTGCTTCTTTCATTCTGAGAGACTGATATTTCCAGCATCAGTAGCTCATCTGACAGGCTAAATAAACAGATGAGAAAGTGAACAGAGGATTATTTATCACCTAGGGATTTCCCCCAGTGTTAATCTGCCATTATTTTGACTTGAAGTGTGTTCACTCTTGGATAATTCCTAGTTTAATCCCTTACTTAGCATTTTCTTACTTATTTACACAGCATGGCAATATGTACTATAAGGGTGAGACTTCTAAAGCACACCAGGGTGTTGCGCACTAACTGGCCCAAACTAAAGGCTCCCAAGTGTGCGTTAACATAGTGTTATTTGAAAGTGCACTACATTAATGTATAATAGGGAACTTTTAGTTCATGGCAGCAGACCAGTTGGTTAGTATGCAACGCATTGATGTGCTTTAGAAATCACATTCACCCACTGTGCATTGTAGACAAGACACTCAAGGTATGTTTATAATAAAAGACCCATGGCTGGCCTGGAGCCTGAACCATTACATTGCAATTTTATAGCCTGGCAGTCCAAGCCACAAAAGCCTGTGTGAGATTACCCAGGCTCTGAGACTTGGTGTCATGGGTTTTTTATCCCAGTAGAGATGTGTCTCAGATCAGTTGTGGAAAACTGAGGTCACAGACTTGTTTTGACTGAGGGCTTTCTTCCTGGAGAACTTAGTAAATTCAAGAGAAGCTTCACAGCTATATTGAGTGAATTCAACATTGAAAATGAAGGAAATACTGCTCTAGGGACCTGAAGACCAATAATTTTGAGATTAGACTTTGTAAAATAATTTGTAGAGTTCATTAACTCCATTGATGTTAACCTTCATTAACAAAAAATGGTCATGTTCTCTCATAGCTATCTGCGCTATTCATTGCTGTCCTTTTCCTGGAAGTGTTGACTGTCTTCAAAACCTTTCAGAAAAACAGGATAGTACCAATAAAAGATAAGCATGGATTTAAAAGGGACAGATCGTGTATTATTAAACCAAAACTTTTAAAATGAAGTTTATACTAATATTTGTAGAAACTCTTTGAAGTTCTGTATAGTGAGTATATTGTGTCCTGTATAGAAGGCAGAATATTTCCTTGATGGTAGCTATGTCCAGCTGTTGGGGAGTATGAAGCAGGGTCTCCTAAAAATCAGTAAAAACTGAAGAAAATCAGGTCTAAGATGTGAAATTAAATTCAATATAAGCACTGTTTAAATTGCTAAATACTGATAAAGTAGGGTTTCATTGAAACATATCCATCAGTCTAAGTTACTAATATCTGACTAAGGCAAAGATAGAAAAAGATGTCAGGAGCTTTTCTATCAAGGAAGAAATTGTAAAATAGACACGAGGTTATTGAAACCAAAACACTGCTGATTTTAGAATCAGTTGGATTGCAATAAATGGGAGGGGAAAAAGGAATACATCTTAATGGGCTGCATTGGTTATATTTATTCTAAGTACCATGCCAGCTACTTGAAATATCTGTGCCCTAGTGCATGATTAGCAAGGTGGCCTCCTGCTGTTTCACTATTCGATTTGATAGAAGATAGTGGGGGAGCAGATTTACTGGCCCTTAGTTTGCAGACTTTTTTCCCTGTAGGTGGTTTGGCTCTATTTATTTTATGTTGGTCATACTTCTAAGAGTATTACTCACTCAGTTACTTTGTATGTAGCAACTTCTTCCAATAAAATAAGTAACAACTTTTGTTTTGCTGTAGCAACTTTTTTTTTTTTTTTTTGGAGCCTTTTTATATGCTTTTAAATACTGGCTCTTAGAAAATTATTAATTATTGTTGATAAATAATCTTAAATGACTTTTCTCACAGGTGTGTTGTAAATAGATAAGTATTATACTCATTTTACAGATGGGGAAACTGGGCTGTAGTGAAGTTAAACGACTTGCCTGGGATCACCCACCAAGTCATTTGCAGAGCCAGGAACAGATACCAAACTATTATGCACTTCT